ATGCAGGTCACATGTCTGAGTGTCTACGTAAGTGCACAGACGACTGTGCTGACAACAGATGTTCCAAATAGGTCGTGTCTTTATATCATATGTGTGTTCTATTGTATTTTCATCTTTTCATAGCTAAACTGCCGTTTAATACCGCGTTAAAGGGAACAGTGTTTCAAAAGCGTCATTCAACACCATTGAAAAATGCTTTGAATATCAAATCATGTTAATGGAAATATTGTTTTGATTATTAACATTGAATTCGTCCAAAGATGAATGCGATAGTTTATGTTTTTGTTGATACCTCCCAAAATAAACATATGACGTACTAAAACATTCAAATTGTTGTCATAAACATAAAAACCATAACCAATTATATAACTAAGTGAAATATTGTTGTTGTTGCTGTTGCTATTGTTGTTGTTGTTGTTGTTGCTATTGTTGTTATTGTTGTTGTTAGTGATATACACCTCAGTCTATTAGACCTAAAATACACGTATAATCAGCAAATACTCTCCATGTAGTTTAACAGCAGTTCGTATACACACGAAACGAAACACAAGCATGGAAATTTACTCGTGACATTTTTAACTCTAACAAAACACAGTATGTAAATTTAACGCATACAGGTAGCATATGTTTGTAACATGAACGCTTCGATTCAGTAGAAACATGTTCGACAAGGCGGTTTATATGTAAAAATGCAGTAGTTATGTTTGGTACCAAATAAAGACAGAGTGCCCACGCTTGGATAACTTTAAAACTTAACGTGTCTATGACGACATCAAACTTTATTCCTACACTGCACTCCAAAGACATTTCCATTTGCATTTAAATTTTTAATTTCGAAAATTGAATTTGTCCTCCATGGAAATATTTCAGATCCTAGTTAGCTAATACCAAACAGAGACTCCGGTTTATCAAAAACGCTTATCTTCTGAAGTCAAAAGGACATAAATCACGTGATATAACAATCAAAGTAATTATCTTAGAATAGAAATGCATATTTTAAATAAACATCTACGAGTATTATATATAATAAATATTTTAGTTGGTTTATATCATGGCTGATGATGCAGAAACATTCAGACACATTAATGACTCGAAGCAACAGCCAAAATAATTGTATGATTTTTTTTTTTACTGAGGTTATAATACATAAGAAGGTTTCATTAAAAAAGACGCAATAGGGCCAAACGGAAATATTAAGAAGCAGTAATCACGTGAAATCACAATCATATTACTTATCCGAGAGGAAAGTATCGAAGTTTCAACATATCAGCTGGTTTTATTCAAGGAGACGCACTTAGAAATATTTCCGGCCGACAAATAATTTAAACGGCTTTCTACTTCAATGATTTTTTTTAACATAACACAGATAAGCTTAATGGTTTCTTGAGCTAATCGAAATTTGAAAATGGATTTACTATATCTGTTATTTTAAATGGCATTTTAAAACATATTCTCAGAATAAGATCTGTCAGAGTTTATCAAAAATGATGCAATCATACACAATTGGTTTGAAAATGATATTATTAAATAGTTTATTCATTACGATAACACTTTGATAAATTATTCAGGTATGATAAGCTTTTGAAGCGTTTATTTGCAATGTGTATGTTTCTAAATTTTACATTGGAAGTTGACAAGGAGACCTTCTTAGACTGAGAGTACCTTTGATGTTGTTGTTAGACCCCCCCCCNCCACCACCACCACACACCACACACACACACACACACACACACACACACCGTGGCATATTGCCTTATAAGAAGTTTTGTCCTAATGTTTGACCTGTATTAATGCAGAATTCGTCTATCGTGTAATAGTAGCTTATACCAAATATGGGACATGCCACTTATAAACTGAAATACGAGGTAATATATGGAAGATCATTGGTAGCATCGATCACGCGAGATTTTTGTTTATTTCGAGACCTCATTCAATAAAATATTTTAAGTCCTGTTTCCCCCTCAGAACACAACGATGTTCATTATTTATAAGCTCAGACATTCTCGACTTTAAATTTTCACAATTCTGTTTGAATTCCAGTCGGATTATTTTTCATAAACACGGCCAAATAACAGAGAATATGACAGCTAGGTGAAATATACACCAGATACCTATGAATCTCAACAAGACATAATTAACACTTTACGAAAAAAAAGTAATATCTTTATGATTTTTAAACTACACGGGATATCATTCTTTTCGTCGTAACCGGAGTGAGTTTGCTGCCTGTATGATCATCCATAGTAGCCGACCCTTGATTGCATCAGCCTCGGCTAGCCGCCATTCATAAACTGGGTAAGACTAGTTTATGGCGGTGAGAACGTTAGAGCGGAACTGTCATAGTGGGCGCCGACAAATGTAAGTGTGTGTACAGCACATTGATTGTTGTATACATCACGTGATCGAATGATTCAGATTGTTGTGTTTTTCCTTTTCACTACAAGTATGTGTTTATTAAGTGTAGACTTAGCATTCCTTGATAATGACAAACTATGTATTGAGTAGGTGTTCATTAAATTGAAAATTTGTATACGTTTATTATTAACGATTTCGATTGTTATGAAGCTATAAGCAGATCTTTTAAACTCGGTGAACTCAAACGAATATAGAAATGTCAACACACAAAGGCATATCATTAACTCAAAATTCGATACGAAGAGACAAAAAAAGTAATCGATAAATTGGGAAACCAAAACAAAAGTCCGAAGGCAGTACCAGGCCCTGGAATCACAACTTCTTCATTTTTAAAAGAACACTTTCATTTCTTAAAATTAAATCGATTTATATTAAAGGACCATATTTCCTCTTGTATGTTTGTCCGATTAGAATGTTTTCATGGACAGTGTTATTTTGTAGGCATCTTTTGTTAAGTATATCTCCCATTCGAATTGTGTTAGTACTGGTAGCTCTTCCAATACTTTCTTGTCCTTACCGTAACTATTAAAACGTTCAAGGATGTCTTCATGAAAATATTTGATATCTGCATCGTCCATAGAAGATGTGCAGTGCACCGCAATTCAATAAGGTCACTATGACATTAACCTCAAATTAAAAGGTCAAATAAGTGCAAACTTTTCAGTACATCTAATCCGGGCCATACCTTTTACACCGTTAAGATACCTTGTTGAATCTTGCACTATACCTACATAACCCAGATTGAGGTGCAGTAAACTGGCATAAGGTCACTACGATACTGATTTTAAGGTCAAAAGCCAAATAAGAGCTAACTTTACAGTTGAAACTTTTGAACTGTTAGGACACCGTAACCTTCCGCCTCATAACGTTTTAATTGTATTAACTCATATATGCATTTTATGATTTATCAGTAGGCATTTCCCTGGTGTGCTTAAGTGATGAAGCTGACCGATACGTTTATAATTCTAAAATAATGTGTAACTGAAGTGTAATAGTACTGACTTCTCTAGGTTTGTTTTAATACATGACAAGTTAGTTCCACACCAACTGTGGAAATTATGTAAAGAGTTCCCATGAAATAGAGAAGCTGTTTATTACATAATGAAATTAATTGTTACCATGAGGTGGTTGGCTCATAATGATATAAAGATGTTGCCATCCACATAGTCTTGCAGTGTAGTTCTACGGACGAATTAAGGGACGAATTATGGTGTTATATCATTAATATTAGCGATATATTGTTCAGTGTATATTTGCACGACTTAAACAAAAGTCAATTATTTCATGTTCTGATCGGGGGGAATTTTTCTTACAATTTGTCTAACTCAGACCTATAAGAGTTCTGTATGACGTCTTTTAAATTATTTTTTCGAATGATAATATCATATTACAAATGACACATTTACTATATCTATGCTGATTATTGTCAAATAATCAAAAGGGCCCGATACTGCTAGCTTAAATTATATGCCCTAATAATTATGTTAACAACATAAATTTATTGTAATATATTTGTATAATAATTTTGATAATTGATGTTTATTTGATGATTGTATTGTGATGTTCTATCATTATAATCTTCATTCTGGAGGAAATAAAGGAGTATATAGTTAGTTATGTAAACATTAAAATAACGATACCTTTGTACTCTTTCAATGTCCATGTATGTATATATGTTGATTGATTCTTATATGTATTTATTCTGTTTATGTAATCTTCATTTTGGAGGAAATAAAGAGAATAATTATAGCCGACAAGAACTTTCTAGAGTCGGTGTCATTTCCATGAAAACTATGCAATTAATTATCCTTTATGATATCATACATTGATACATATTCAAGGTAAAATATTTTGCATAAGGGAAGTAACTCGTACAGAAATGTGTTTTTATTGAGCTTAATATTGCATTATCAAACTTGACAGATATATATTTCATTGTTGACTAGTGCACCATAGTAGGTTTTCGTGAGCGAGAGAGTAACACCAACGAGTTAACCTTGATTAAGTTTTCAAAGTAATAGTGTAGCTGCGAAATATTTTTTTATAAATGATATTCAAAATAAAAGCTATCTGAATATCATTGATTACTTAATTCTTTATTTTATAACCATGCATTGTGTAGATATTAGATACAGAAATATGTTTGCATCGTTGATCTTCAACACAAAAATATTGCATTGAAGTTTTATGGTAAAAAAACGTTTCTTTTCGAATTTAACGATACATTTTTTACTTTTTATATGACCGCAAATATATTGGATAAATCCTTTACACGTGACTTGTTTTCAAAAGTTTGGATGTTTTGCTTCTCCGCTGATCAAGGAAAGTGACTTTCACTTTATATATGTATTATTCGAATTGTATTTAGTAGTTAAATGACTAAATAAAAATATCTTTTAAATGTTATGTGATGGAATTTTGATTTGATCTTAAGACTTATATTGACCGCCAACGCAATGTCGATGAAACTAATTACTAATGAAGAAATTAAATATGTTATTCAAAAATGTTATGATTTTTCTCAATTTTCAACTCAATCTGTGCATAATGAAAATAATAATCATAAAACGCTCATATAAATGGGAATAATTTATTATTGATACCCACTGAAAGAAACAATTAAAAGTATGTATTTCATTGAGGTGTAGTGTCATACTGACGGATTGCCGGTATCTCGTCAACCTACAAATACAATAGACAACACAAGTTTTATCTCTAGTTAACACGTGATCAGCTAGACTGCCCACCGTCTCTAGAATATTAAATAATTAAGAAAAAACTAACTCTAATAATTTTGATCACTTGGATGTCTGATTCTAGACCCTCAAGTTCTAAACTAGGGGGAGATAAGCTAGTAGTAAAATGCAGTCGAGAAATTCTTCATAAAAACTTAGGGGCTGGTGGGCTGATGTCATTTTGTTATTTTTTTTTATTTTTTTTTCTTTGGGATTTTGTTGTTTTTATTGGGGGGTTTTAATCACCTTTTCATTTTATTTCAATTTATATTTTATTGTTGAAAAGGAAACATGGTGTTTTTTTCTCATACCACATAACAATGAGAACAGTATCGACAGAGTATTGGAAGAAAATTAGATTTGTATAACTTAATAAAATTGAATATTGATAATTGTGAAAAACAAACCAAAGCTTATCCACGATCCCCCTGAAAACAAAAATACAGAACATTATAATATTATCTATTACATATACATGTATATTCAATAAACAGACCTAGCCAATTACGTCCTATAACTGTCATACAAACTATTGTGCCGTAGGATTGTTTTTCCCATTGGTTTCGTTTGTATAGTGAATGTTTGAGTGACTCTAGTTTTTAACCTTCGTTTGTTTTATCATTATCATTATCATCGTGATTTCTTATTATTATTGTTGTACTACTGTTCTAGCCTACTGATTTACCTGGTCAGCAGAAGTGACCTGGCCGAACTATGTTGTTATAGTTATATCCAAAACGAAATGAAGGGTTGGTACTCTTTATACGAAAAATAGCACTGCAATGGAACAAGGATCCTTTATATACAGTATACTGCAACTACTTTGCTGTTTAAGGATCCTTGTCTCATTGCACCGTTATTTTTATAGATATAATCTAACCAGGAAACGTTATAAGAAGGTAATCGTACAAAGCTGATATACGTACTTATTGGTGTCGTTGTAACATTGGGTTGTGATGACGTAGTCAAAGCTACACACGAACAAAAAGATAAAATATGAACAAACTTTATTTAGTTTACAACAAATATGAAAGACGAGTGTGCTACCACCGCGGAGAGGTAGAACGAGGATTATTTACACAAATTCTGAAACCGGATTTGAAAACACTCGACCTACCCACACTTCAATAACGGGTGAAGATCCTTCGTAACCAAAGATTGCCTCATACCGGTGTGGACAAAAACATCAATTGACAAATAAATACTGGTTATTCAGTCGGACAAGGGATATTGTCGAAAGCTACGAAGTTTCGTACAATGTCAAATTGCAGGTAATCTACTTTCCCTGTGAAGGTTATCAACCATGTGAAAAGTGTCCTTGACAATATTTGATGGATGCCCCTACTAAGGTAAATATTCATTGGAGAAATTGTAAATTGTAAACGACAAGTACTTTACATGTACAGCTTCTGTTTGTACTTCTTTTCTCAGTACCGATGGCTATATGTTTTCATTGTTCAGCTATTTTATATCTTATTAAATGTTATCATCTTTATTAAACTTCTTTTTTTCACATCTATCATCTACTATCCGCAATATTTGCAGTACTAGTGCTGTCTGTCGTTCCAACTGATCAAACCATGACGATGTCGGGCGAACCTCGGATTCGTCGACTACCATGTAATCGTAGAATAATTGATCTAGTGTTCGAGTTTGCGAGTTAAATCTATCATTTTCTTATCAATATTCTGAAGAAATCTTAGACATATACTTGCTATACAGAAATGAGCAAATATCGCATTGCCCCACCTAATAACATAAAAAAATATGTAATAAAGGTAGCCAAGAAGAAACATCCTTCAATTAGACCTGAGATATTATACATAAAATTGAAGGCGAGTTCACTGTTCGTATTCAAGAAATATTTTGTCTTTTATGCCGAAACAAATATAGAACCTACCTTGCTGACACATGACACCGGCGTCCTCTGTGTGGTCACAGTCCCCACGTCCGTAAGGTTCCATTGAGCACTGACCAAGGTTGGTTTCTTGACCTCCACACTGGGTCTCGTCCAACCAGATAGGACCAGTACCACTCCCGTACCTGGCCTTGGACGTGTGTACTGCGATTGTCCTATAGAAACACGATGGCGGGAGGAAGATTGAGATTGTGATTGAGCATAGTGATAGTTTCGTATTATTTTCTAACCGGAAAAACTATCAATAAAATAATGCTAGAAACGTTCATGAAAAATGTACATTTAAGGACTCGTACAACTAAATAAGTTACTTTGTGTTTTACTAAGCTTTTGAGCTAATAGCGTTAGTATTTGAAGTTAAACACTAATGATAACTGTCTACATTTACAGAAACATACCTGACATAGGCTTCAAATGGCTTTTTGGCAGGTTTAATGGCATATAAGATCGCTACAGCCTTCTGCTTTTGACAACCGGAAGGGTACAAACCAAGCCGGTAAAGCGGGTCAGGAACACCCCCTGACGTGTGACCCCATATAATATCCGCAATCACATATCAAAATGAAAAGTGAAACTATATACTTTTTTTCAAAAGTTAAATATCCTTAGAATTCATTAAATACAAACTAAATCAATAGTAACACATTCAAATAACTTAGAGGTACTGTATATAACCGGAACATATTTTAGTCAGAAATTACAATCGTATGAAACACTTTCTGATTGGCTGATTAAGTTGTGCGAGTTGTTAACTTACGTGTGATATCCCAGCATGCGGCAGACGACTTCCGCGTCAGTATCGTCCCAGCTATCGTCACAAACCGTCCCCCAAACACCATTGTGAAGTACCTCAACCCGACCCTCCCTGGCGCTAGATCCGTCGACTAGACGTACCTTCAACATTTCTTGAAAAAATGTTTAAGATTTCATGTTTTTGATTTGTTCATATCGGTTCCTCAAAATATATAGAACAAACTCTTAACAAGGATTAATATGTTATACTCTTCAATATAAAATATGGTTATTAAAACAAAACTATCTACATTATTGCATAAACAGATGATTAAAAATACTACACAATTGCTGTAAGCGTACATATTTTAGCGGTTATATTACTTAAGCGCATCTTACGTTTTAATTATTGCGCTAAATTATGATAACGCTAATTGAAGTTCCTGTTTATTATTTTCTTTTGTTGCATTGTCTAATTTGATAGTGTGCTTAAATTTGAGTGCGCTAAAATAAGTACGTTTATAGTATAAAGGCAGACTATTCTGAGTTCCATTGTTACAACTTCAAGATCATATCTTTCTTTCTTGTCATAGATTTAATTAAGATTTGTTGTAATGCTGTTTTAAAATGGTAATGCAGATTTTTCTAACAGTATCTCATGACCATGCTCAAATGCAATGTTTCTACCGAGCTTGACAAACATCGTACATTACCTACATATTTAAAATGTATCTACTGTAGGATAGTAAAGAGAGTAGGTAGATTTGTTGACTTTAAGATTTCCCAGTAATAGATGCAACTGTCATGTAAATAATGGGGACAAGAGTCCAAGAGTGCAAATCAAAATTTGGGCTGTTGACTTTCTGATCCAAAATTCTACACCTTGCTGTAATAAGGCGTTTTCCTTATTTTACATTTAGGTAATGTAATTTTGCCCTTACCCTTTTCTCCCCGAGACATTTATGGATCTTTTAGCAGAATCGCGAGTGTCAGGTGAGTAAAAAGAAAAAAATGTTATGATGCTATATAAATTAATGTATACTCTCTGATGTAGAATATGAATCTGTGAAACTTACACCATTACATATCCTTCGTACATACATATTATAGACTCCAGTTTGTACAGATTTAGCGTAGCACAAGAGACGATGCGTTCTTCCCCGCTAAATATTCCTTAAACGACTATGTGAAATTGTCCATTAGAGTAGTGTTTTATTACAAATTTTGAATTAAATAATCATTGAAGAATATAGTTTAATAACCGTTTTGGAAACATTTTCAGGTCAAGGTGATTTGTTTTATTGAATATGATATTTCATGTCTTGACAAGTTATCTGTATATTCAACATTCAAAGACCCCGTACCACTGCTTAAACTACAATAATACACTGTGGAACTTTGTTTCCAGCATGACCATATCATTGATAATTACTGTCTGAAATGTAAACCGAACCTAGTGGAAAATTTCAAAATAAAGATGAGGTAATCAAATGAAAATATCAACTGCAGTGTTTTCAGTATAAGACATTGATTTGAATCAACCAGGATTTGAACCCTAGACCTCCGATGATTATTCTGTCGCTCGATCAAACTGAGCTACCCGATCCACTGTTGTACTCTGCCCCAGATGTACTACAGCTATACCCAAAACAAAATTAAGGAGAGGTCACTGTACGTACGAAAATCAACCCTGGAACTCTTAGTGTTTTGCCGACGGTGTAACAGGGATCCTTAAGTTTTCAAGGTAAAGTATTTCACTATTATCAGTAGTGGTGATTTCTTAATTAAGAATAGAAGTAAATAATGTCTTAAAAGATTCCGCTACGTCATAGATGGAATGTTACATTTTTACTGTATTTGTAGGGGATGACAGTATTTCCCTTGTTTATTAAATTGATTATATTACAAACCTTGCAATACCTTGTCGACGGAATGAATTTGTCAATATATGTAGCTTTGCTGTTTTTTCAAGCAATCCTTCTGATTTACGAATGAGATTGGTATTGAGATTGGATTCCCATGAAAATGAAGAATGTTTGAATCATTTTTATATATCAGGCCCGATGATATAAATTGATTTTTTTTTCCTGAGCAAGAAATTATGTCATAGTTCTTTGCGTCACAACACTTTATGTGTATTTATATCGTGACGTCATATTTTTTGTGTACTTACATTGTGACGTCACATTTCATGTGTACTTACATTTTTATGACACATTTCTGGTGTACTTACAAGCAAACGCCTTACCTCAATTTAATCCCATTTTCATGCAACGTTTCATGTGTATTTGCACTGTAATAGATACCTAACGATGAATTTTCCCCGTCAAAAACAAATTATTTCTTTAAATAATCGTCATAAGCTATTTCGAAGGCAAAAACTTCAAACCTACAATTATACAAACCTGTAGGTGCTCTGGTAGTTGTGGGTGATGTGGTAGTCACTGTAATTATGAATCATACAAACAGATTATATATTGTTTCTTCGCACCCCCCCTGTCCCCATTATGAGTTCCCCAAATCCGTAGTGGATACGTTTATACATATATAAGGTTCCTCTATGTCACAAGGATCAGCAATGATTTTAAGGGGAGTGTTAAACCTACTCCATTGACAATTTAAACTTCTTAATCAAAGATAGTGGTTCTTTCGAGATAAACAAACCCGTTTAGGTTCATTTACATCGTGATTTTCTATATATTTTTGTGAAGGTATTGTATATACCTTACATTTACTTGTATATTAAAATTTCTTCACGCTGGAGAACTTAAGACACACACAGGTGATAACATGACGCCATAAATATTTGTCTTGTGTTAAATTCGATTACTTTATATCACAATTTGTTTCTTCTATCATTTTGTATTCTTAACTAGGTTGCATTTAGGTCATCCTCGATATCCAGGGGTTTCGCTCACTTTCGCTCTCTGTACCCCTGGAATATGTCATAGAAAAATTGAAGGCACGCGGCTAGCTATTTTATTGGTGTCGGGTAAAAAAACCTGACCAATCACTAGACTGATGCTTGTCATTTGAAGATGACAGAGGAGCGACGCCCGACTTCGAAGCCAATAAGTTTAACCCCAATAACCCCTGGAATATCGAGGATGCCATAATTCGGCCATTCTTTATACTCGACAGTCACTATATTGATACATTATTCACTTACATGGTTGACATATGACACCGGCGTCCTCTGTGTGGTCACAGTCCCCACGTCCGTAAGGTTCCATTGAGCACTGACCAAGGTTGGTTTCTTGACCTCCACACTGGGTCTCGTCCAACCAAATAGGACCAGTACCACTCCCGTACCTGGCCTTGGACGCATGTAAAGCGGTCGCGCTGAAGGAATGTATGAATCAACAGTCTCCAAAATTATGTAATTTCGGAACTCTTTCTTCATCGGCGTTGTTCAGTCGCACACAACAACGTGTTTTGATAATTTAAGTAAGTGAACTGAATGTGTCGATTTAACATCTTTTATTTGTAATACGGAATGTGTTTCGATTTAAACATATCTTATATGCCATGCAACAAAAAGGATCGGGCACCATAAGTTATCTCAACTTAAAAACGCCTTCTTCAGTACATTACATTATACAAAATACTTGACAACAAAATCTAACAAAATCTATCAAATACAAACAAATGTGTGTGTGAACGTAAAGGAAAGGAATAAGAAAAAAAAGGGAAATTTGAAAAGAATCATAAAGAGAATTAGAACGATAGCAGCTATCAAGTTTTATATATATTATTGACCGTATTGCTACCTTTAATGGAGGTTTAAACTAACTTAGTATGGAAAGTGCTTTCTTTTTCTCATCAGACAGGTTTGGAGAACCACAAAGGGTTACAATGAGCTAAATATTAAAATAACGAGATATATCATCAATCAAAATGTATCGTTATCTAATATACAGTAAACAATCACAAAAATATGTACTGTATTTTCATATCTATTTCCACATGGAAACGCCGGATCACATGTTATGCAAATTATATTTGTGAACCAAATTTTAAATTAATGATAAACTGGTTATTTACAACAAAAAGCTAACAAAACAAAAAATTAAGGAACGTTCATGAAACGCATTTTTTCGGAAAACCTTAGCTAAGGATTAACTTGCGATTTTAAGTTAAGGAAACATTTAAGTTAAGGAACGTTGATGAATCCGGGGCCAGGTGCCAAATCCCAATTTGGCAATTGATATGTTATAAAAGTATAAGTTAACTTAACATGTAACGCCTAATTACTGTAATATGTAATTACCTATGGTTATATTAGTATCCCTATCTTCAAAATTAAATGGTGTAACAAGATTCTTTTCTGACATATTTTAGAGGACAATTGGAGACATAACAACTGGTATTGCAAATGGTATATTTAGTCACGCAATAGATTGTCTAGTTTTCGTAAGCATCAGATTCCTACACAGCACATTAATTTTAAACATTTATTAAACCACATAGTCAGGTATATATTTTACTCACGTATTATATCCTAGCATGCCGCAGACGACTTTCGCGTCATCATCGTCCCAGCTATCGTCACAAACCGTCCCCCAAACACCATTGTGAAGTACCTCAACCCGACCCTCCATGGCGCTAGGTCCGTTGACTAGACGTACCTTCAACATTTCTTGAAAAGGATTTATAATAATTTAATGGGGAAAACTAGTCGAGAAATTTTAATTCCGGAGACAGTAAATTTAACCCCAATCTGATTAAAATAATATGTTATATGGCTTCGTTAACTTCGTACTACGCCTGTGTCGCGGTCAGGGTCACGTTCAGGTGACCTTTATATTTATAAATGCTCCTTAAATTTTGACCAATCAGAGACCCTCTTTCACATCTTAGGTTCAATCGGAAGTGGGCAACAGGGATAGCTTATGTAAAGTTCTGACTTTGTATAGAGCATCATATATATCATATCCTAGATTTTATTTGATTTTATTTTCTGTGCTCAGATATACTGGCTCCGTTTTCCTGTTAAAATGTACATTATGTATTCTTCATAAATCATTAATATGACATTCGCAATCCATCGTACAATGTGCTTTACATGCACGCAATATACATATAGCTTAATTCACATCCTACCATACATTAGTTAGTATAATCATTGTCACAACTTAAAGTTAGCAACTTTACACCGATAGCAGTAATAAATGGTTTGTCTTATTGTCAAATACTAACGATAGAGAATAGACGCTACCCACATTGTGAAACGTTGTGTGCATTTATCGTCTATATTTCAACCTTTTGCCTCAAATAAGATAATTTTGAAATGAAAAGTCTCAAAATACGACCTCCTTTCTTGTAAAAAGTAAGAATTTTATAATTTTACCAAATAAAAACAATAATCGGAAATACATGTTTACAAACCTTTCGGGGGCGTGGTGGGCACAGGTGTGGCTGCTGCTGCTGTTGTGGTTGGGTGTGTTGGGGTAGTAGGTACGTGGGTAGTAGGTACGTAGGTAGTAGGTACGCGGATAGGGGCCGGCGTCGCTATGGATACGGCATGTTATACTAATGGTTATCGTTAAGATGTCATATATAATATATAAAGGATCTCGTAAGATTCTATTTATCATATAACATTTACAATTTGTAGAAAAACAACCCACTTTAAACACAATTGAAAGTTATCAGCAGACTCTATTTACGTCAAAATTAAAGTACTCCGGTCATAGTATTGTCATTCCGCACAGTGGAAAATAGTTCCAGATTTTATTTTTATACTGAACAGATTTAATTGCAATGAAAATAATAATGACCACTTGAATTAAACTTTCCAATTTCATTTAAAAACCAAAACATTAAAGTTTATCAGGGAACAAAAATTTTGTTGATAAAGTTCCCAATTTTTACCAACTGCAGCATCTTTAGGTTTTATTACACGTGTGTAATACCATATGACATGGCCGTATGACATCGTAAAATAGGTCAGTTATGTAATAAAAAAAAAACTATCATATACCCAGGTTTCTGTGTGGTGTTATTACCTGGGTTACAATCCACAGCAATTATCTTTCCGCTTGGACAATTAACAGATGAAAACCCGTCAAACGGACATAGAGACAAATGGTGCTCGTGACCCCTGCAGTTGATTCCGCTCATCAGACAGTGGGCTTGGTGGTATACGTGGTGGTGGTGGGCGGGATGCCTTTTGATGAAAAAAGCATATGTGCATATAAATATGATAATAAAATATTTGCACTAAATAACAAAGATACAGATTGTCAATTAACTCAATTTAAAGATGAGAAGAATTAATTTAAAAAGAAATAGCTATGCATGATTATGCTTTCAATATTGCCATTTAAATAGACAATTATTCAATGTTTAATGAAAAACAATTTCAACCAATATTATTAAGTTAATCTTCTTGTATACATCTTATATGTTTTTTGGCCAAATGCCAAATGAAAATCTTATTTGGTTAGTTGGCTGTCTCGAGGAATTACTTGTTTCAGTGATCAGAAATACACAAATCACGCCCCCTGTTTTTTTCTAAGTATGAAATCATATTTCTTAATAAGGAGGCACAGATGGATTTCAAACAGACACTTCAACATTCCATTTCATAATATTTTCAAAAAAATAATTAATGATTTCTTTTCTGTATCGTTTAATTTTCAGAAATATAAATGGTGGTTTGCAACCACAATAATTAGAATAAAAATTGGGCTAAATATAGACTTAGTTTTCCACATACTGTATGGTGATTTCATGAACAGGAAAATATTAGGAAATGTTTATGCTAGTCTCATGGACAGGCATCTTTCCACACACCAACTTCTTTGCAGTGAAGTCATCCAATAAAATTAAAAATATGTTCGTCTTATTTGTAAAGATAATATTAGACAGTTTGTTATAATGACGGGAAACCAGCGCAAAGCTTTAAGTACGTATTGCATTAGTGAATATCATGAAATTAAGGGAGCTAAAAGCAGAATTGTGAAGACTCCATCTATCTTCTTAACAATAATAACCCAGTTCCATAAAACCAATTCGGACATCTTGTTACAAAATAATGCTTCACTTATCTACCTTTCAATTTGACGTATTGACCTTAATAATAGAAATAGAATAACCTAATTTTAAAACAAATTATATTAACTCACTCACCCCTGATTTCATAATGAACTATTCAAACCTTTGAACTGGAAGAGTTCAAATATAACTTCAAGGGTGAATGAGTTAATGTTTTAGACTTTGCGTTTTTAGATGCGACTTCCTACAATGGTTGTTAGCGGCATTTAAGCTAACAAAATGTCTCTGTCGGTCATCGTCACTTCCTCACGTGTGAAAGTGTCCCATCATCCCGCACACGACATAACTGTTGTGAGTGGTCCAGTCCTCCGCACACACGTGACCCCATACGCCTCCGTGTTGCACGGCTAGATATCCCGGGATAATGCCGGTAATGTATGGCGAGGTGGATATACTTTGGAGACAGTCTGAAACATAGTCAAATAAGTTTTTACAGTATTTAGGAACTTTTACAGCATTTGCGGTAGTTTGTACCGAACTCCTTACAGAAATTACAAAATTGATTCAAAGAGTATTTACAGTATTTTCAGTAGTGTGTACAGTATTTTTACAGCATTTACGACAGTTTTTACATGAAAATATATAGTGTTTTTACAGCATTTACGGTCGAATTTACATGGGAATAAAAAGGGTTTTTTACAGCATTTACGGTAGAATTTACATAGGAGCTTTTTATGGCAAGCCGTCTTAACAGTTGCTCAAGGAGAAATTAAATGAGATGCTGTATAAGATATTTTATATGATATATAAAAGGTATCTCATATACTATATTATATATCTTGTTTAATGTGAAATAAGATATCTATTAGAAAATTTATAACAGAATATTTTTAATAATGTTTTCTTTTTTTCAGTGTCATATTTTATTCATTGTACATGACCTGTTTTACCTCGTGTGTGTCAAATGTCCCTATTTTTCTTTTAAACACAGAACATATATATGACACGTTGTCTTAGTACCATCCCTTCTATATAGAAGATGAAGTCACCAAAGATTTACTTTCCTTGACAAGTTTTTCATAGGCTTTGCGACATAAAAGCTTGACATTTAATTTCGTGTTGTTATATATCCTGGGTGACGACATCAGAAAAGTGTAGGCTTTTGCAATGTTAAGGATTCCAAGTTTGTCCCATGCACTTTTGTTTTATTTCTATGTTCAAACACCCGCATTTCGAACAGCTATATTTTTGTAAAATGCATTGCAACATTTTATTTTTATGGAATACTTCTTTTAAAAAGGATTTAAAGAAATATTTTAAAATCATTACATTGGTAATAAAACAGTATAACCTGTTGTTACTATTTGCCTAAAACATTGCCCCCCGCCCGGGCGATATTAATCATATCATTATACAAGAACGATACAGGTTTTTTTCGGCTGACAATATTATGTATAATCGACTAAATTTATCCATTTAATTATTTTGGTATTATATATATTGTTGGAACTGTTTAACTATCTTGTATGTACAACATAATATCTCATTGTGGTACTTATAGCTTACCATCGTGTACGTACAAGAAAGTATCACCAGGTTGCCCCTATAACAATACCATCTGACTTCTAAAACACGCTGTTGATAGAGAATTTGAACCGAAATTTTAATTTTCTTTCCAGTACACAAAAAAAAGTCTTTGGGCCATACTTATTTTTTTTATTTTTTTTTTCTTGTTAATTAAACATAAAAAAAATCCTCAGAACACGGGAAATCGCTTCTGAGACGTTCTAGAAAACACATTTCTTTGGGGGGAGATCCCCCAAACCCCCCTTACGGGAGGGGGAAGACCCCCTTCTGTACCTTCCCCCTATTCGCGCTACGCACTCGGGCTGCTGCCTTTGGCAGCACACCGTTGGCTGTTGAGAAAAAATATTCTCGGCCCCCCCTTTTAGGAAATCCTGGATCCGCCCCTGATTGCCTAGAAGATGCATAAAGCTGCCAAAAGCGATATGCTTTGAATGGAGGTCCACTTTCATATACCTTGATATTGAGAATGAAGAAAGGAAATTCGGTTTAGAACAGTAGAAACCGCAGTGAAATATTTCCAAAGTTTGAAAAGTCCAGATGAAAACAGGCACCTTTTAAATATAGCATTAGTTGAAACCCAGCATTACTATCTATGTATTACTATCTGTCCATATAATTTATCGATTATATCTGTTTACATATTATTATATTATTAATTGACAGCAATAAACAGAATCAAACATGCCTTTTTCCATATCACACCCAGTATCAACCCTCGACCATTATCAGCCCTCGGGCTGATATTGAAGTCTCGGGTTGATACTAGGTGTAATATGGAAAAAGGCATGTATTATTCTCTATAAATCTACGGTAACTACGCAGGTCTTAATAAAGCCGTTGTTTGATGAGAACGAAAATAGACAGTCCTTACCCCCACAGCTCCAATCTGCTGTTGATATCTTTACCCAGGCAGACTGTTTATCAAAAGCACAATAGTTTTACTAAAACATAATCATATAATAAAAAGAATCAATTACTTTACTTGCAAAGGTACAGTCACCTACGTGTCTATTATGTTCATCTTTCGAAATACTGGATGGTTAACTTTGCTGGTGGATTTTTTTTAATAAACCACTACTTCTCTAATTTTTGAAATTCATAAAATCACCGGGTTTTTACGAACTTCCCCTTCTGTATAAACAGTAGTAAAGACTGATCTGAGGTAGCAGTATACAGTAGAGGGTTGTGGCCATGTGTGATATTTTTGTTAAATGGCTCACCCCTGTAAAATGATATGTAAAAAAATATAAAAATAAAACTGTACTAAAATTAGTATAAGCATTATGAGGTGGGCTATGTGAGCTTCACATTTGTAAAAATAAAATTGGTTCGAGATCAAAATTTTGGCCATAATCCGAAAGGGTGCCTACACATGAAAAGCTAGCTTTACAGGAGGTAAAATTTTGACAACAGCACACGACGCAAAATTGCAAAAAAATCAAGTTTGACAACTTTACTGGGACCCAGATAATTCCACAACCAAGTAGGTAATCTTTAGTTTCAGACAGAACTTAGGAAAAAAATTACTAGTTGCGGGGGTCAGATTTTGGGTCAAAAATAGCATTTTTTGGCATTTTTTGGTAATTTTTGATGTGGTAACCATGGTTTTCACACAAGTTTATATACTTCTCAGTACTTTATATGTATTGTAAATGTAATGCTGTTTATAAATATATATACATGTATACATGTGTTGTGTAGGGTAAATCCGCTGTGTTTACATCTCCTCGACATGTGCTTTGTTTATCAGAGTCGGGCCGTTTCTACTGTATACTGCTACCTGAATTTACACCGCATTTAACCTAACATCACCAATGAGTCCTAGAAGGACAGTGTAATTCATTGTTGGCATACTGTATCTATTACCAAATGTTATAGGTGTATCCGTATGTGTCGTACGTTCATCTTTTACAATAGTTCATGTTACATTTCGAGTTATATTTTTCGAGTGTATACTCCTTTGTTAATCTAATTAGATTGACGAAATTCTTATCTTACCCTGGCCGCTGTAGCACCCATATCTATACGGTAATAGACATTTCCGTAGTGTTCCCATCTCTGCATCAAGTGAGGGTAACACTTGTTGACGAATATGTCGCATTCTTGTCCACCAATCAAATGAACACACATGCCGTTCGTCTTTGGGCATAGCATGCAGCCATTATGGCTATAATCTGCGTGGACGATGCCTGTTTGTTCGTGTCCATTGGAATGACCACTTGACTGGACATAACCACCGTGCACATGTGACCAGTGATAATTTTCGTAATTGCCATCATCATAGTCATGGTGTCCATTTCTCAATGTTTTCTGTTTTTCAAAGCTTGAATCAACGCCAGGCGGAATAACTTCTACTTGATTCGGGTTTTCGACATGGGAGGCCGCACAAGCCGTACTTGCTATATGAATGGCAACTAGCCAAACGCTCAGTATCTGTTAAAATCAAAAATTGATAACAAGCGCAACAAAACGAATAATAATTCAAACAAACTATCAGTGGCAAAAAAAGAGGATATCAAAATATATAGAAAATACGTTGTTCCTCTTCTCTGTCGTAAGAATATTATGTTTTAATTCTCTGCTCTGAATACCTTCTTTATTTCCCAGGTCTTTTATCAGAATACCTTGTGTTGATTCCCCTTGTCTGTTATCAGAATGCCTTCTGTGTATTTCCCCTGTCTATTATCAGAATACCTTGTGTTTATTTCCCGTGTCTATTATCAGAATAACTTGTGTTTATTTCCCCTGTCTATTATCAGAATACCTTGTGTTTATTTCCCCTGTCTATAATCAGAATACCTTGTGTTTATTTCCCGTGTCTATTATCAGAATAACTTGTGTTTATTTCCCCTGTCTATAATCAGAATACCTTGTGTTTATTTCCCCTGTATTTCCCCTGTCTATTATCAGAATCCCTTGTGTTTATTTCCCCTGTCTATAATCAGAATACCTTGTGTTTATTTCCCTGTCTATTATCAGAATACCTTGTCTTTATTCCCTTGTCTATTATCAGTATACCTTATGTTTATTCCCCTTGTCTATTATCAGAATACATTGTGTTTATTTCCCCTGTCTATTATCAGAATACATTGTGTTTATTTCCCCTGTCTATTATCAGAATCCCTTGTGTTTATTTCCCCTGTCTATAATCAGAATACCTTGTGTTTATTTCCCCTGTCTATAATCAGAATACCTTGTGTTTATTTCCAGGTCTTTTATCAGAATACCTTGTGTTTATTTCCCCTGTCTATAATCAGAATACCTTGTGTTTATTTCCCTTGTCTGTTATCAGAATGCCTTCTGTTTATTTCCCCTGTCTATTATCAGAATAACTTGTGTTTATTTCCCCTGTCTATAATCAGAATACCTTGTGTTTATTTCCAGGTCTTTTATCAGAATACCTTGTGTTTATTTCCCCTGTCTATAATCAGAATACCTTGTGTTTATTTCCCTCGTCTGTTATCAGAATACCTTGTGTTTATTTCCCTTGTCTATTATCAGAATTCCTTGTGTTTATTCCCCTTGTCTATCATCAGAATACCTTGTGTTTATTCCCCCTGTCTATTATCAGAATTCCTTGTGTTTATTCCCCTTGTCTATTATTAAAATATCTTGTGTTTATTTCCCCTGTCTATTATCAGAATCCCTTGTGTTTATTTCCCCTGTCTATAATCAGAATACCTTGTGTTTATTTCCCTTGTCTATTATCAGAATTCCTTGTGTTTATTCCCCTTGTCTATTATCAGAATACATTGTGTTTATTTCCGCTGTCTATTATCAGAATACATTGTGTTTATTTCCCTGTGTATTTCCCCTGTCTATTATCAGAATCCCTTGTGTTTATTTCCCCTGTCTATAATCAGAATACCTTGTGTTTATTTCCCCTGTCTATAATCAGAATACCTTGTGTTTATTTCCCCTGTCTATTATCAGAATAACTTGTGTTTATTTCCCCTGTCTATAATCAGAATACCTTGTGTTTATTTCCCTTGTCTGTTATCAGAATGCCTTCTGTTTATTTCCCCTGTCTATTATCAGAATCCCTTGTGTTTATTCCCCTTGTCTGTTATCAGAGTACCTTGTGTTTATTCCCCTTGTCTATCATCAGAATACCTTGTGTTTATTCCCCTGTCTGTTATCAGAATACCTTATGTTTATTCCCCTGTCTATTATCAGAATAACTTGTGTTTATTTCCCCTGTCTATAATCAGAATACCTTGTGTTTATTTCCCCTGTCTATAATCAGAATACCTTGTGTTTATTTCCCCTGTGTATTAACAGAATACCTTGTGTTTATTCCCTTGTCTATTATAAGAATACCTTGTGTTTATTCCCCTTGTCCATTATCAGAATACCTTTTGTTTATTCCCCCTGTCTATTATCAGAATTCCTTGTGTTTATTCCCCTTGTCTATTATTAAAATATCTTGTGTTTATTTCCCCTGTCTATCATCAGAATACCTTGTGTTTATTCCCCTGGCTGTTATCAGAATACCTTGTGTTTATTACCCTGTCTATTATCAGAATACCTTGGGTTTATTCCCCTTGTCTATTATCAGAATACATTGTGTTTATTTCCCCTGTCTATTATCCGAATACCTTGTGTTTATTCCCCTGTCTATTATCAGAATAACTTGTGTTTATTTCCCCTGTCTATAATCAGAATACCTTGTGTTTATTTCCCCTGTCTATTATCCGAATACCTTGTGTTTATTCCCCTGTCTGTTATCAGAATACCTTATGTTTATTCCCCTGTCTATTATCAGAATAACTTGTGTTTATTCCCCTGTCTATTATCAGAATAACTTGTGTTTATTTCCCCTGTCTATAATCAGAATACCTTGTGTTTATTTCCCCTGTATTTCCCCTGTCTATTATCAGAATCCCTTGTGTTTATTTCCCCTGTCTATAATCAGAATACCTTGTGTTTATTTCCCTCGTCTGTTATCAGAATACCTTGTGTTTATTTCCCTCGTCTGTTATCAGAATACCTTGTGTTTATTCCCCTGGCTGTTATCAGAATACCTTGTGTTTATTTCCCCTGTCTCTTATCAGAATACCTTGTGTTTATTGCCCCTGTCTATTATCAGAATACCTTGGGTTTATTCCCCTTGTCTATTATCAGAATACATTGTGTTTATTTCCCCTGTCTATTATCAGAATCCCTTGTGTTTATTCCCCTTGTCTGTTATCAGAGTACCTTGTGTTTATTCCCCTTGTCTATTATCAAAATATCTTGTGTTTATTTCCCCTGTCTATCATCAGAATACCTTGTGTTTATTCCCCCTGTCTATTATCAGAATTCCTTGTGTTTATTCCCCTTGTCTATTATCAAAATATCTTGTGTTTATTTCCCCTGTCTATCATCAGAATACCTTGTGTTTATTCCCCTGTCTGTTATCAGAATACCTTATGTTTATTCCCCTGTCTATTATCAGAATAACTTGTGTTTATTTCCCCTGTCTATAATCAGAATACCTTGTGTTTATTTCCAGGTCTTTTATCAGAATACCTTGTGTTTATTCCCCTGGCTGTTATCAGAATACCTTGTGTTTATGAATACCTTGTGTTTATTCCCTTGTCTATTATAAGAATACCTTGTGTTTATTCCCCTTGTCTATTATCAGAATACCTTTTGTTTATTCCCCCTGTCTATTATCAGAATACCTTGTGTTTATTCCCCTTGTCTATTATCAGAATACCTTGTGTTTATTCCCATGTCTATTATCGGAATACCTTATGTTTATTCCCTCGTCTATTATCAGAATACCTTGTGTTTATTCCCCTTGACTATTATCAGAATACCTTGTGTTTATTCCCCTTGTCTATTATCAAAATATCTTGTGTTTATTTCCCCTGTCTATCATCAGAATACCTTGTGTTTATTCCCCTTGTCTATTATCAGAATACCTTATGTTTATTCCCCTTGTCTATTATTAGAATACCTTGTGTTTATTTCCCCTGTCTATTATCAGAATACCTTGTGTTTATTCCCCTTGTCTATTATTAGAATACATTGTGTTTATTCCCCCTGTCTATTATCAGAATACCTTGTGTTTATTTCCCCTGACTATAATCAGAATACCTTGTGTTTATTCCCCTTGTCTATTATCACAATACCTTGTGTTTATTCCCCTTGTCTATTATCAGAATACCTTGTGTTTATTCCCCTTGTCTATCATCAGAATACCTTGTGTTTATTCCCCTTGTCTATTATCAAAATACCTTGTGTTTATTTCCCCTGTCTATTATCAGAATACCTTGTGTTGATTACCCTTGTCTATTATCAGAATACCTTGTGTTTATTTCCCTTGTCTATTATCAGAATACCTTGTGTTTATTTCCCTTGTCTATTATCAGAATACCTTGTGTTTATTTCCCCTGTCTATTATCAGAATACCTTGTTGTTTTTTTCCCTTGTCTGTTATCAGAATACCTTGTGTTTATAGTTCTCGTCTTATAGAAAAATCTTTGTGGTTTTTATCGTCACCTTTCAACCCCATGCAATGACATATTAAAGATCCAAAGTTAACATTTGTATTTTAGTAGTCCATTCGTAGAAATGGAACTTTCATTTTAATTATTAAAATAATTAAAAATCAATTTAGCTTATTCTGCAATACAGCATTCAGGCTGATATCTTCATAAACATTGTTCACCGACACAACGATAGACTAGTCGTCCATACAAGGTATGCTATTAGACGTTGTATAAACTTCATTCGATGAAAATACATATTTACGAAGTGTAAATATAGCTATTTCAAAGGGGGGGTTTCCCCTTTTTTCAATAAAATAGGCAGTAAGCTATGTACAAAAAAGGATATTTTACCATCATGATGTAAGTGCTGTCAGTTGTTGCAAGAACAAGCCACATAATTGGCTTCGATAACCTAGAAATATTCGTGCATAGTCTAGATAAGCAAAACCTGTCTGAAGGTCAGTTGACAGTGTTGATAAGAATATATATATAGATATATATATGGGGTAAAGAAGTAATTCCAACAGTGTGGACAAGTTTAGGTTGTCAAATTTTCGGAGCGATCCGCTCCTTTTTCAAGACACAGTGAAACAGAAGTTACATGTACATATACATCATATTACAAGAAGATAGAATTGATATACTATAATTGAAAATATAGCTATTATATAAAACCAATAGTCCCCTCGGCTAAAGAGAGCCGAAGGCAGCAATTAAGCTGAGAGCATCGCGGACAAGGAACGCTGATGTAGAGGACCTATTCTTGCGCAAGATTCACTATCATATAAAGTGAGCCAACGAGAGATATCAAAAACGTGGAACATGTGCCTGTGGAAATCTGGCCCGGTAAATGTGCAAAATCTCCAATTTGCTACGGAATGTCTCATTAGTCGCCTCTCAATACTGCGATGGAACTAACAGTCACAGCAGGGGGGTCCACACTTAGTCGCCTCTTTCGGTTTGCAGGAATAATGCATGTGCCTCTTTTGGTTTGCAGGAATTATGCATGTAATTATCAAATAAGTGAGTGCATGAGGAATAAGTAGATGAAATGGCTAAGATACTGTATAAATCTGCAAAATCAATCTGACAACGGCTGTTGGTCACACACACTGACATGAAGCAGCAGGCAGGCGAGATAGCAGACTAACTGTGCAGTAATGCATCATTAGGCCAAATGCCTCCTGGAAGGAAAACGAGCGGATGGCAACCGCCTATCGTTCGTTCATACCTCGAGGGTAGCGGGTTTGTAGATTGGTGATCCAAAACCGTTCTCTAGTACGTCGTCTCGTTACATCCCATGTAGGGCAATGATCTATGGCAACAACCTGCATGTCTTTCAAACTATGGCTAGGCATATTAAAATGCCTTGTCACAGGGAAGTCTGGTTTGTTCTGCTTGATGGAGCAGCGGTGGTTTTTGATCCTGACATTGAGCTGGGTGCAGGTCTCGCCCACGTACTGTAAATTGCATTTATTGCAGGTAATAAGGCACACCACGTTGACTGATGTGTATAAATAGAGACACGAATATCTGTGAACCATTAGCGCTTTCATTGCCAATCTTCAGACGCTTTAAATACACGGAAATATATAGCTTCAATAAGACACAAGTTATGACGTCAAAGCGCTATATTGCTTTACAGAACTACGTGTTTTTTAACGACGGTGGGCTGTTCAAATCGCCCTTCGTCCGTGCTTCATGGTCCGTCTGTCTGTCATTCTGTTCGTCCGTCCGTCTGTCTTTAAACAATACTTATTAGCGCTAGTTTTCATAAAGTATCTTTGGGATACTTTGTCAAATTTCACATGAAAGTTCTCCATGGTCCGTAGCTATATACGCACCTTGAATTTTGGGACTAATTAGAATGCTTAGATGGCCGACAGGTAGCCATCTTGAATTACGCAAGTTCCCCATGATCCTTAGTGCATATTTTAATTTTAAGACTGATCGGGAAAACCAATTAAGATGGCCCACAGGCGGCAATCTGGAATTTTGAGTGTTAAACATTGTTAGCGCTTTTTCTTGAAAGTTCTAGAGGAATCTTTCTCAAATTTAACGTGAAGGTTCCCCATGGTCCCTATATGAGGTACGCATATTAAATTTTGGGATAGATAAAAAAAACAAGATGGCCAACTGCTAGGTAGCAAATTCAGTGCGATTCGCAGGATAATATTTTGTAATAGATTGAATCATCACAGGACAGTGACAATTAGACGTAATGATAAAATATGGATGAATAATGAAATCCGGCTGAAAACGAGGCAGAGAAATAGGCAACATTATAAGGCTAAGCAAATAAATACTCCCACCTCGTGGGATAAATACAGACAATTACGTAATTCGGTTATTTCAATGATTAGAGATGCAAAACGAATTATCTTAGCAAATAACAAAATTCTGTTATTGACAAAAATATCCCTCCTTGTAAATGGTGGAGAATTGCCAAATCTGTCATTACCTCTAAAATGAAAAATGATACTTATTATCCTTTGGAAATTTATGGTGAATTGAATGTACATCCTGTAGATAAGGCCAATGGAGCTGCCCTACTGCCCTACGAATGTGGCCTTGCGGATGAAAATCTGCAGAATATCATTGACAATTCAGGCTCAATCATGGAAAAACACATTGAAAATTCTTCTTTCTTCAGGAAAAAATAAATTGCAGACGCATAATTGTAATATAATTCCCCATAATTTTCCATCAAGTACATTCTTATTAGCCTCTGATGAAAGTGGTTCATATGTTCTTTATATTGACCCAAAGCCAGCTTACTGTACTGTCACAGTACAGTCAGGATGAGGAATTGGAAACAAGCTTTGCTGAAATGTCCTTGGACGATAACTTTGACAGTACAGCTGGCTCTGGGTCAATATGAAGAACATATGAACCACTTTCATCAGAAACTAATGAGACGATCAAGGATCAAGTTTTGTACTTCAAATTTTTAATATGTACTTTTCCATGATTGAGCATTAATTGTCAATGCTATTCTGTGGATTTTCATTCCCAAAGCTACATTCGTAACAGAAGTGCAACTCCATTGGAAAAATGTGTTTCTTTGTATTTGCAATTATAAAGACAGACAAAGGTTTAAGTGATGGAAGTCCCAACCGCTCAATCGCTATGTGCGAATATGCAGTCATCACCGTACAATTTTACAACTTTGCATCCAATGTCACAGCCGTACACAGTCGTAATTTTATAAGTTACGGAGTGTCCAAACCGCACAAATATAAATCAAGGTCACCTCTTTAAAATGCATATTTCTACTTGTTTATAGGACATTTTGCAATCAGTTTAGATTATTACTAATGTATAAAGGTTTCTTAACCTATATCATGGGTTCATAAATACTCAGAGTAAATTTTTGAATCTTATTTATTTTTTTAGTAAGTAAATTTAAACTCGTCGTCGACTGAACGTCCTGATTGCCGGCTCCCGTCAACTTACAAACACTGTACTTTAATAAAGATGCTTTTCTGGAGTGGAATTTTAGCATTTTATAACACTCTGTTCTTTTATCTTTTGCTTCAGTGCATCCGTTGATCGCTAAATAAAGATCAAGTAAAAAAAACCGAACATTTTTCTGAGAACTCACCTTCTACTTGTTTTGGAAGCCGCCATCTTTGAAACAGTTCCAACTTTTTTCAACGTATAGACTACACTACAGCGTGCATTGCCCTAGATACAAGACTCAAAGACAAAATATGATAATATATATATTTCTGTCTCATTTACAGCTTGATACCAATTTAAATGTACACTTAAACTTGTACCTAAACCTTTATGAACATCTAATGTTTAATGTTAATATACTGACTAAAGGAAGTAGTTTCCTTAGTGAAGATCTTAACTCTTCTATTCGTGTTTGTGTTCAGAGATATATAGAATCAACCAACAGATTTTGAATGTTATGTATGTATATATGTATGTGTGTGTATATGCATGCATGTGTGTACGTGTTCATGCATGCATGTATGAACGTATGTAAAAAGTATGCATGTTTGTTTGTATGTATGTATGTATGTATGTATGTATGCATGCATGCATGCATGTAGTCTCCTATCTTCATTGATGCTGATATAATTCTTATGTTTCTACCCATGTTTGTAAATATTCATAGTTCATTGTTGGCTATTGTTCAGAGATGTACTTCCAGGGAGAGGGCTTGGATAGGCTTTGTCGGTTGCCCAATTCCCATTAAATCTGATTGATTTAATAAAATACTTTTTAAACTATGAAATCATCACAAAATTCTCACTTTGTAGGATTCCTTTTCATTAACGACAAACAGAGCTCATCCCCGCTCAAGATTGTTTTATGGGATGAAAACTATATGTTTCGTTAAAGTACATGGTGACTTTGACTAAGTCTACTGATACATAATTAAGGAATGTGACATGGTATTGGGAGTAGTAGGTTTTTACGTACACGAAATGTGTACGTACAAATCACGTGTCAAAAACGTATTACTACAGTAATAGACTATAGTAGTAGGTGTTTTTTTTGTCAGATAAGATGTGCGTACATATTTCGTTGACAAAAACTTACTACCACGGACTTAAATAGCAATCTAATCTAATTCCGTGATCAGTACTACTATAGTAACACTGGTTTGACTGTCCGATATCGGCTACCTGAACCTTTGAATATTATCACGTACAGATCAGCTATTTTGTGATAATGGAGGAAGATAGAGACAGAGAGATTAACACAAAAAAGAACGTAAAAAAACAAAAACAAAACAGTTTTTAAATGTTCAAGAGCACACAAAAATCAAATACATCAATTATCTCTATTTAAAACAGTATTGTTTTATTTTGAAAATTAGCAAATATTAGCGGTCTGTTATAAAAACAAATGCATCAGAGCAAGTAGAAGTTGTGCACCCAATCACCCTCTTTTTTTATCTGTCTTGACATTATCTTAACTCGTGGGTTCAGGTAGATATATATTTGCTACTTTTTAATGGAACTCTCAAAGTTACATTTAATAAATCAAAAGGCCACATAACATGTCCACAAATAACAGAAAAGAAACGTCTTACAAACTAAATATGTCGTTATTTTACGTTGATCTGTATTTTATAGCAACCATTTGATCTCGTACGACGAACCAATCGCAACCGAGTATTCCGGCAACGTTTTAGGTCTCCACCAATGAACAACGGGTACGCTGTAACACGGGGGTCACCAACTTACCGAGGGTGAGAGAGAAGAACAAAGGGAAAGAGCAAGGAAGTCCAGTTACCAACAGGACAAATTGTAACACCTTTATTACCATCAGAGGCCATGTCCGATTCCGAAAAACAACCGGAGGAAGTAGAAGAACCTAAGAAAAATGTCATCGGTAAGTTTTGAGAGCCAATTCGATCGGTAACTCGAGATAATCACAAAATATTTGTGATGTCTGCGAAACTGGGTCACCGCGTGGTCGATCGAGACCATGTTTGTAGGTTGAAGCGTGAGTGGTGATGTTTCATAAAATTTGATACATTATGCGTTTTGTTTATTTTTCATTCGGGTACATGGGTGCAATTGTGTAATTATCTTAAATATTTGAATGTCCACTGTGTGTTTATGTCCGTAATTGCAAGAATTCAGATATTTTTTCGCACCCGGCGTGTTCCATCTCGACGAGCGACCATGTGGTTTTTTAGGTCATGAATCAGTAATCTCGTGTTCTATTTCATAGCGACGAAAGTTACCGGCACAGTGAAATGGTTCAACGTCAAAAGCGGATATGGCTTCATTAACAGGTGATTATGTTTCCCATTTCGTTTAATTTTGTATCCTTTTATTTATGATTTCCCAAATTTAATTTTCGTCAATGCTCGATCGAGCACCCCCCCCTCCCCACGTTACTGTTACCGGTGCGCACCGATCACGTCAAACGTGAATAAACTTGACGAGGGTAGGATTTTCGCAAATGAGGCTCTGCCGCTATCAATAGCATTTCTATGCATTTGTGTTCTTAAGAATAAGTTACCTGCTTTAACTGTATTCTGTTGGATTTCAATATACAGATCAAAGTTCTTGTCAAGAATGATCCAAGTGCCACACCCCCTTTTCAGGTGTTAAAGTCCAATGCGTTGTAAGCTAATAATAAAAATACTTTTGGGATAATATTACTTTGTTAAAATATGAACAATGTAATGCGTTGTATATGGCTTAAATATAAAAAAAAAAAAATGCGAGTGGGGGAGGGAGATTTTTTCCAGACATAAAATTATAACCTGCAGAAGGCCTACTGTGTACTTTTACTCGATCTTAAAAGGGGATGTTGCAAAGTCGCATAAAACATTTGTGACTGTGTCATCAGATAAATATTTTCATTTTTTGGCCACTTCAAATTTTTTAAAAGGATATTTCGTTAAATTGTCTTTTGCTGTGTCAGTGTGACATCTCTGATAGTGAAACTGATGTAGCAGCCATTTATTGCATAAATGGACATATTTCATTTGGGCTTAAGCCCTGGTAAAATATATCTACGCATACTTGTTTGTTCATCTCAGAGAATTGTCCCATTTATCACTTTCGACGTGTCCATTATTCTTGAATGGACGTATAAAAAGTAATAAATAAGGAGGCATGACTTTTTGTCCTAACCATGAATTTATTACACAAGTTGGGGGGGGGGGGGGAGTTTTCATTGATAATTAGGCCAAACAAAAAATATTTGGTGGCCAAAAAAAAAGTTGTCTGTTTAGGGGTTCCCCACCGACCCTAGCTTTTTACCCCAGACCCAAAACTTTTTGATGAAAAAAAACACTTTTTTTTTATTTATTTATTTTTTAGGTCACCTGAGCTTTAGCTCAAGTGACCTATTGCTATCCGTTTTCGTCCGTCGTCGTCCGTCGTCCGTCGTCCGTCGTACGTCGTCCGTCGTCCGTCGTCCGTCGTCCGTCGTCCGTTAACATTTTACATTTCAAACTTAAAGTCAAGTTCTGCTGGGCCGATTGAACTGAAAGTTGGTAGGAATGATCGCCTCATGGTCCTGACAAAGTGTTGTTATTTTTCGGGTCGATCAGAAATCCAATATGGCCGCCACGGCCGCCATTTTGAAAACCTATTTCAAACTTAAAGTCAAGTTCTGCTGGACCGATTGAACTGAAAGTTGGTAGGAATGATCGTCTCATGGTCCTGACAAAGTGTTGTTATTTTTCGGGTCGATCAGAAATCCAATATGGCCGCCACAGCCACCATTTTGAAAACCTATTTCAAACTTAAAGTCAAGTTCTGCTGGACCGATTGAACTGAAAGTTGGTAGGAATGATCGCCTCATGGTCCTGACAAAGTGTTGTTATTTTTTGGGTCGATCAGAAATCCAATATGGCCACCACGGCCGCCATTTTGAAAACCTATTTCAAACTTAAAGTCAAGTTCTGCTGGACCGATTGAACTTAAAGTTTGTAGGAATGATCGACTCATGGTCCTGACAAAGTGTTGTTATTTTTCAGGTCAATCATAAATCCAATATGGCCGCCACGGCCACCATTTTGAAAACATATTTCAAACTTAAAGTCAAGTTCTGCTAGGCCGATTGAACTGAAACTTTGTAGGAATGATTGACTCATGGTCCTGACAAAGTGTTGTTATTTTTCGGGTCGATCAGAAATCCAATATGGCCACCACGGCTGCCATTTTGGTAAACTATTTCAAACTTAAAGTAAAGATCTACTTGGCCGATTGAACTGAAACTTTGTAGGAATGATCGAATCATGGTCCTGACAAAGTGTTGTTATTTTTCGGGTCAATCAGAAATACAATTTGGCTGCCATGGCTGCTATTTTGCTACTAAGTTCTAATAGGCCGATCTCACTTAAAATTGGTCTAGGAATGATCAGCTCATGGTCCTGACAAAGTTAAGTTAACATTATACTATTTTTTACTCAAATTGGTACATATTTCAACAACAAAAATAAATACTATAGACTCAGGTGACCGTTAAGGCCCATGGGCCTCTTGTTTAAAAACCCCGTTGATTTTAGAAGGTTCCTTGCCTTTCAAAATGGCTTCCAGCTCCGTGTTGGCGCTAAATGTCATCATATGGAGCACAATTTGCCTCCAAATGAACCTTGTTTATGTAATTTTTTGTTTTACATACAATAGTAGGGTCATAATCACATGACCACACGGTACATAAAAATTAAATCCGACCTACCTACCCTTGTTTTTTGCCCATGCAACCCTAAACAGACTATATTTGTTTTGTTGGCCTTACTGTAATTCTACCTACCCTATTTTTTTGTGCCTACCCAGAACTTTTTAAGACAATTTTCAAAGAATCACAATCAATATCACTCTCCTATATAAACAATATCAAATTATTTGTTAAAAATAAAATTTGTCGCCTACCTACCCTAAATTATGCTTTTGTCTGGCCTTTAATATGTAAAAGGTCTGTTTACAGAACCAGATGAATAGCAGAATATTAAACTCGTATGCATTTGCAGTGATGATAATTTTCTCGTTTTTCCCCCCTATTTTTAGAGATGACACCAAAGAAGACGTCTTTGTCCATCAGGTAAGAAAGTTAACTTGTACATTTATTGCCATCTAACAAATTTATTCAAAGTAATCTTCAGGTCTTTCAATAGACTTGGTGAATATTTTTGACTGCTCAATATCAGTTTCGACTCCTAGGTTCTAAAGGATAGGTATTATTTGACATTTTTAGGTCACCTGAGCTTTAGCTCAAGTGACCTATTGCTATCCGTTTTCGTCCGTCGTCGTCCGTCGTCCGTTAACATTTTACATTTCAAACTTAAAGTCAAGTTCTGCTGGGCCGATTGAACTGAAAGTTGGTAGGAATGATCGCCTCATGGTCCTGACAAAGTGTTGTTATTTTTCGGGTCGATCAGAAATCCAATATGGCCGCCACGGCCGCCATTTTGAAAACCTATTTCAAACTTAAAGTCAAGTTCTGCTGGACCGATTGAACTGAAAGTTGGTAGGAATGATCGCCTCATGGTCCTGACAAAGTGTTGTTATTTTTCGGGTCGATCAGAAATCCAATATGGCCGCCACGGCCGCCATTTTGAAAACCTATTTCAAACTTAAAGTCAAGTTCTGCTGGACCGATTGAACTGAAAGTTGGTAGGAATGATCGCCTCATGGTCCTGACAAAGTGTTGTTATTTTTCGGGTCGATCAGAAATCCAATATGGCCGCCACGGCCGCCATTTTGAAAACCTATTTCAAACTTAAAGTCAAGTTCTGCTGGACCGATTGAACTGAAAGTTGGTAGGAATGATCGCCTCATGGTCCTGACAAAGTGTTGTTATTTTTCGGGTCAATCAGAAATACAATTTGGCTGCCATGGCCGCTATTTTGCTACTAAGTTCTAATAGGCCGATCTCACTTAAAATTGGTCTAGGAATGATCAGCTCATGGTCCTGACAAAGTTAAGTTAACATTATACTATTTTTTACTCAAATTGGTACATATTTCAACAACAAAAATAAATACTGTAGACTCAGGTGACCGTTTAGGCCCATGGGCCTCTTGTCTAATTTTCCAGTGATTTTTTAGGGCATATTTAGGCAGGTTATATATATTACAACTTATAAGCCGCTTTCCCTAAATAACTTCTGCTTCAATTTCCCAGTATAATTAAAAACAATCCCTTTATTTTCCCATAATTATGATGCTTTAAGTGTGATGTTCCTTGTCAAAATGCACATGCCCCCCTATGGAAAAGAGGTAGAAATGTGGCTGCTTTCAAAAGTTCAGACATACTTTTGACTTCTGAAATTCCTAAATATTAGTGTCAAATAAAAGCCCCGAATCTTGAGGTTCCCTGTCTCACTACACTGCCGTTCTTCCTATATAAGGTAACCCTCCTCTTCCGTTTGGATATATATATAATTAATGTAGCACATTTTGGCTTGTACACTTTTGCTGTCCAGGTAGCTTAATCAGTTTCAGCGGTGGTATATAAATCCTGGTCTGGCCTCGCAGAATATTGATGTTCAGAACACGTTTGCCGATTATATTTTGTTAATTTCATATTCATTATGACTTCATAGGACGTCCCATAAGGTATACTTTTCTTCTCAAAAATTAACTGGGACCCCTTGTTTAAAAACAACACATCATTGATCCACACCAAGAATTATAACATTCATGCCGTTTATAAGGCTATAAGATATTCAGGAATGAAATTTTATTCTGATNGGGGGGGGGCCATCAGATAAAAACATTCTTTGTCCCTTTTATTCTGCGACGGTTTGGTAATTTCAACTGTGATCTTTCACTGGAGCTTCTGTGTTAAATGTCAAAATAACTTTTGTATTCTTGCTACTGTAGATGCATAAAACACGGTACATGTAAATTCATCTCTTTTTGTGATAAATGAAAAACACTGTCGCAATCTTGTGACATTGGTTTCTAACGCAGACGAACAAGACTGACTCAAAAAAAGTAGAAAGGCATTAATAAGCAATAAGGTTATTCAGGATTTTGAAGGATTTACTACAACTGAAGATGTTTTCATTGACAGACTGCCATTACAAAGAACAACCCTCGAAAATACCTCCGAAGTGTCGGTGACGGAGAGAAAGTCGAGTTTGATGTCGTGGAAGGAGAAAAGGTAATCTATGGTTTTTAAGACAACAAATCATGATAAATACCGACAAAATACTTGATCCTGTAAGTGTAATCTATTCTAGTCGAGGAAATGACATTTTGTTTTAAAGCTGTGTATTTATGATGCTGGAATTGTCATAATAATGCTGAGTCAAGATCAACAAAATTCTAATGTATGGTATAATCTGTTTGTTTAAAATAGGGATATTGATATCATGTAATGGGTTATTGACATTTGTTCAAAAACACAATTTAGCATTGATTAAACCAGTGTCAAAGTAGTCTAAAGATTCAGTTTATTTTCTAGCGAGTATGTTTTATAAAGTTGTGTGTGTCATGATAGTGTTGTTTTTTACATGCATCATCTTTTACAGGGCAATGAGGCATCAAACGTGACCGGACCCGAGGGCAATCCCGTCCAGGGCAGCAAGTACGCCGCTGACCGCCGTCGCTACCGTGGCTACTACCGAGGAGGACCTGGCCGCCGACCCTTCTCCGGCTCCCGCAACGTAAGTCTCAAATTCAAACTTTCTCAAGTTGTCGACTCCACAGACACTATCTAATTCTCAAAGTTTAAATTCTCTGTCAAAAATATGCTGATCAGATAGAAAAAATAAAACAAACACTGCTAAGCTACAATGTACTGGTTGCTTTAACCCTTTCACCCTATGTAACTTTAGTAGACTCGACCATGCATTACTCTGGATGAGTTCATTATGGTCTACAGTGGTGAAAGGATGGTATTTCTTCAAAATAGTACTCTTAAAGTTGGCATCCGATCTGTGCTATCCCAGAGCCAAACACGCCAACTTACACCAATACATTACATACATGGAGCACACCTCAGCGGTTAAAAGGATCCAGTAGAACCAAACAAATCTCAGGCGTTTCACAAGGCCACGTAAATAAATGAATTTCCTCAAGTCTAGTCTTGAGCTTTGAATAATAAAGGAAGTGTTGCCCTGGTCGTGTAGCTATGGTGATGTGTAGGTTTCACAAATGTGATTGTTTTATACAGGGTGACGCTGGCGAGGTAGAGGAGGTTGAAGAAGGAGAAGAGAGGCAGAGGCGTCCTCCTGGACCTCCCCGACGCAGGCCATACCGTGGAGGATACTATGGTGGTGGCGGTGGCGGCTATCGTGGTTACTTCCGTGGTGGCAACTTCCGCAGGGGCCCACTCAGGGGACCCCCAAGGTACCAAAATCATGGAGGGGAGATGGTTGAGGAGGATGGGCAGTACATGGATGACCAATTCCGTCGTCGTCGCCGACCTTTTGGCTACCGATTTTACCAACCACGTAACCCAAGGTACTATGGCCAGGGTGGCGGCGAAGAAGACGGATCATTCAGGGGTCGTCCTTTCAGAGGAAGAGGACGTGGAGGTCGGGGACGTGGTGGTCGGGGGCGTGGAAACCCGAGGAAGAGGGTAAGTCAAGTGACATAATTTCTAACAAAACAATTTTCATAACTATATGTGCAGGTCTATGAGAAAAGATAGAAGAAACAAATTTTGGAGGTTTGATTGAAAAAATAACTGATTGAGAATAAAATGCAAGTTAAAAATATTAAATGATAATGACATAGAGTACATGGATTATAAGTTCAAAATATAAAATGATGAAATGTCATAAATATAAAGAAGTTTGAAGCTTATGTATTTCAGTGTTACATTTATGAAGAGAAAAATCAGCTTCCAAGTTGGGGGTCGGGAGGTTAGAATTTGTAATTATTTGAGAAGCAAGTTTATTTATAGGGGTCGAGATATTTTGAGATTTAATTGTTGGAGAGGGCCAATTAGTTAAATAAACACGAGATTGTTCATTTGTAGACAAACAAAGATAACCAAGAAACCAACAGCCAGGAGGGAGGAGATTCTAATGATGCCGGTGCCGAATCCTCGGGCGCAGGAGACGACCGAAAAGACGGAGGAGAGCAGGCCGAGTAAGCATCTCTCGCGGGCAACCATCTTGCATCACCATCCAAGAGCATATTATGATAAACCTTTGTTATGTAGTCCAGCAGTCTAGACTCCTGCATCTGTGTATTGCTTTAAACACATGGCCTTTTTCCTTTATAAATGTATTTAAAAACTACAATCTTGACATGGCCGACTTGCTGTAACCAACGAAGGAACAGATGGCAGCAGGTCTAAAATGTTCTCTTTTGTGTGTAGGAAAGAAACACCAACTCACTCGACTATGCAAAAAACTAACCCGCCATGAATGAATACAGTAGCTTTTCCTCCGAAGACAAACAGAAGAGAAAGGTTGAAAATTTGTCTCTGATGGCACACATAAGAGAAAAGTTGATGACTTGGACTCTGACGATGAACTGAAGAGAAAAGTTGTTTGTGTGATTTTTACACAATAAACAAAACTAAAGAAAAAAATTATTTTATACAAGGAACAAAAGAAGTTTTTTATACTAATATTTATCAAAAAAACGGAATGAAACGTATTTCAATTCCAAATATATGTGAAGAAACTATTTTACAAAATATGGCAAATATTTGGAATACATTAAAGTTGACTGACTTGGTGTTTAATATGATACCAATGTAATTTGATAGTGCTTAATTGAACTTTCTCACAGGGGTCTACATCCGGTTTCTGTGTAGATCCAAAAATAACCCAGGCGGCGAATGAAATTTACGTCTGAAAGACAAAAAATTGTGCATGAAATAAACATCTGCATTGACCAAAAAAAGGTTTTTTGTTGTTTGTGTCCTGCAGCCAATATTTTATTATGACAAGGACTACTTATAACAATTTCTTAAACAATGAAACGCTACTGTATTGCCTCCTTTTTCAGAAAGCTCATGCAAAATATTACTGAAATATTCCAAAAATTGGATGATTAATAATGAGTATCATGTAAAATAAATCCTACTCTTTTTCAAAAATACTGTTCTCTTTCAGAATTTCAAAACTTTTACCCAGTGGAATAGTATAACATCTAGTGTACATTTACACAGCCAAGGGAGGTAATCTGGTAGTGTTTCAGTCCAATTGGAAATGTATTTGCTTTATTAGGAAAATGAGGTACTCCATTGAGATTATTGATTGCTCTTCCAAAATGGAAGGTGGTGATAATTTCAGAGCATGTTGATAAGCTGATTTATCTGATTATCAAGTAAAGATTCTGTGGCTGTGACCTTGCATGTGATGTATGGTCTCGACAATAATTGAACAAGACAAGAATTATGCGTAATTAATTGTATGTCTCACCTATCCACGCTTTCAGCATAAGATTCAATGTGTCCAGCATTGTAAGTTTGAGCTGAAGTTTGGAATTTCGTATTTGATAAAACAAGTTTGGCAATGCATCAACATGAAGGTATAAAAGGCACAAGTGCTAATTGTAATGGGAGCTGGCCATTACAGATGTCCCTCAAACTAACTGCGCATTTAGAAAACCAAATGTAAATTGGTGAACGGAACCTACCAAATTTGAGCAAAATCAAAATATATGTGAATTTCGACCAATCATGCAGAAGCCAGTATACAAAGACTTCTTGTCAGATCAGAAAAAGGATGCCACAGTTGTGTTCGCATTGCCAAAATACATGTACTTTCCTAATTTGATTGAAATTGAACAATAACTGAATTTCGACCAATCGGAAGCCAGTATAGGTGACTATTATGTCAAATCAGAAAATGGATAATGTGGCTGAGTTTGCAGTGACAAAATACACCTACATACAAATTTTAGTGAAATCAAACAATATCTGAATTTCGACCAATCCAAAGCCAATATATACAGCAACCATGTTGTCAAATCACAAACTGGACACAGCAGTTGAGTTTGCAATGCTAAAATGCACTTTCATACTAATTTTTAGCGAAATTGAACAGTAACTGAATTTCGACCAATCAGGACCCAATATACAGCAGCCATTTTTTGTCAAATCAGAAAATGGATGTTGCGACTGAGTTTGCACTGCCAAAATCCACATGCATTGTATAAGTAATTAAAAACAAAATGCAAAGAGATAAACATAATCCAGGTTTGGTTATGACAGTACGTGTACTTTGTGAAAAAGTAAGCTCAACCCCAAATTAAACGGAAACTTTAACCTAATACAATTAATTAACAAAGTCCAATTAACTGTAAACTGTAGGTGAAATTCAGAAATCTGAAATGTGTGTAGGGATACCCATGCATAGATAAAAGTATAATTCAGATTTGGTTATGACAGCACATATGTATAGATACTTTGTGAGAAATTAAACTCAACCCCCAGCTAAACCGAAAACTTGAACATGGCCCAATTAATTAACAAAGTCCAATTAACAGTAAATTTTAGTTCAAATTCTGGATTTGAAATGTGCGTTTGGATGGTTATATACATAGATAAAAGTATAATCCAGGTTCCATTATGACAACAGTTTAACAGAAATGTTTGATGCCACTGGAAAAGTAACGCCTATGTCTGTCGCAGGCGAGACAAAAAATATGCTGGAAGTTTAATTAGAACAAACATCATTTAGCACAAAATTTTACGTCTGCAATTCTGAAATAAGAAATTGGAGGGAGGGCAGGGAAGGTAGGCAGTTCCACTATGTACCATGTAAATTAAGGTTCTGTAGCTGTGACTATGACCTTCAATCTCCAGAGATTAATTTTGAAGAATACTTGTGTGAATTGTCAAATGGTTGAAAACTTCGGTCAGTAACCTGGGGCAAGCTCAATTACGTTGAAGGAGATGATGATACATTATAATCTCCGGCAATAATTCAGTATATAAAAAATCACATGTAAAAAAAAACAATTAACAAGAACAACAGAGAATTATTTTTATTTAACTTTAGTTATATTACAGTGATGTGTAAAATACATAACAATCGTGTAACTTTATGGTCATAACATTTCTTTGTTACGAAGAAGACAAGTTCTTTTGAATAATTATTCCTCATCAATAATTTCAGTGAAACAAGGAGAAGCAGGTTAATGTATGTATTAGCATTGGAATATATTTCTCTAAAATCTGTCAACTCATTCACCCCAGAAGACACATTTGAACTCTTCCAATTCAAAGCTTGGAATAATTCATTATGAAATTTCAGGGATGAATGAGATAACATATATACATATTACAACTAAACTCTGCAATCTACTGCTAAAAGTATTATTTATGTTGAATCCATGATATAATCACTGATTTTAAAATGAGACGGTTGAGAGAGCAAAGTAAGCTATGCTGGGGGGGGATACACATCACTTTTTTAACATGGACAGCTACAAACTTTATTTTTCTTGCAGCTTCTTTACCTTTGGTAACGGCAAACACATCATTGGATATATTGTCCACCCCTGACACTTGTATCGACCAACAATGTGATTGTCGGGACCATTAATATAGAATATTGTAAACAAACATAAGAGGCCTATGGGCCTGTTTTTACCCGTTATCTGAAAAAATGGTTTACCAAGGTAGCCATCTTGTATTTCTTTTAAATGGCCCCCAAAAAAAAAACTAAATAAAAAGACTTCGCTAATCAAAGGATTTTGGAGCTATAAATAATTTTACAAAAAAATAAACGCCTTGTCAGGTTAGGATTATTTATACAAAATTTGGTAAACAATGGCCAAAATAAAGTCGAGGCAGCCATCTTTGAATCTGTGTTGACCTGAAAAGTAACTCTTGGTGAAGTTCATTAGAAGTAAGTTTTGTAAAATTCAACCCAAAAGAACATGATAAAAAGCTAAAAATATAAACCATTGACCTCCCTTGTCACGGAAATTTTTCACAAATCAAATTTACTGTTAAATATATGAAGGAGTATTCTTTTGAAATATTTCGCCTCTTTTGGGCCTTGACCCCCATAGGGGGATGGAGGCATGTTGCATTTATAAAAGTTTAAACCTTTTAAGAGTAACGGGAGATGAATAATTAATGCGATGAGGTTTGATGGGATTCCAACCAGGAACCTCAGAACTAGAAAAATTGGACACTTTAACCAATGGAGTTGGTTACCTAGACATCCGTCCAATCCCACGTACTACATCAGAATGCTACGTACCAAATTTAGTCAAAATCCTTTTCAGATAAAACATGCATGTAGACTTGTGAGCTGAAAAAAAATACCAGTCCTGCTGGTTTTCAGAAAGTTAGGATGAAATTATGAATGAACTATATATATATAATAAACTGTACATACATATTTAATTTCAATGACAAGGAAGCATATTCTTTCAAATAAACATGTGCAATAATGAGCTGTATTGAACAAAAAGGAAACTGCTCGGATACCTTGGTTGGTTGGTTGTATAGTGTTTAAGTATGTCTTATCAACAGCTAAGGGCATGATAGATTCAATCATCTGTTAAAAGCGCAGAAACAAGCTGCAAGATTACTGTTGGATGCTCCATTTGATACACCATCAGTAGAAATGTTTTCTTCATTAGGGTGGTTACCAATTGGCGAATATTTGAAATTCAAAAGAGGTGTTATGGTGTACAAATGTATAAATAATCTAGTTCCAGGATATCTTTCTAATCAATTTAATTTGTCTAACAACAGACATACTAGATCAGCATCCCAAAACTCTGTCAAGGTACCCAAACACCGTACCACATTTTATTCCAAACACTTTTTGGTACAAGGGAGCCAGATTTGGAATAATTTACCGGTTGAAGTACGACTCTCTTCCTCCTTGACAAAATTCAAACAAAATATGATTGGTAACATTAAGAATGCGGTTTAATTGTCTTTTATTTTTACTATTATACGTTTTAGATACAGCTTTGATTTGTTTTATTTTCGCTATATTAGCGTGTATTCTGTCAATTTTTAGCTTTTGCTACATTAGCATATATGTAAATTAGACAATTTGTCTTTTAATGAAAACCATAATGGGTTAAGCACAGAATATATTTCGTGCTTCTGTGATAATTTTATTGTAATTGTATTGAACGACCGTTTAAATTATGAAATAACTGTGATATGAATTGCTGTTTTAGTAGACCAACAATTATTTTATGTACATTTATTTGCTGTGATACTACTTTGTCTTTTAACTAACCAATTTTACTAACAGAGGACCCTGTGGAAGATTAGCTTTGCTAAACAGGTTTTGTATCCTCAATAAATAAAGTTTATTATTATTATAATGAATTTCTTTTATGCAAGTTGTGGAATCATGTGTTTCTGATTAATAACATTCAACAGCACACAAAAAGAGTTGCAACATCAGCAATATAGTGAAACAAAGCTATTGCTATTGCTGTGAACCAGGCTTAAATGTGAATTCTAAATTAACATGTACAGTACAGATATATCACCTGGAAAGTAAATGTATGTATGGTAAAGAGATGTTTTCTTACACAATTTTACAGGAAAACTATTTTTGGGGGAAAACTCCCCTTAATTTTATGACGAAGATCAAATAATGGAAACTGTGAAGAATAAAATACAAACTGTTTATACAATGTTACATACAATTATTGACAACCCCAAGTAAAGGCACACTGTTCACATAGATCCCTCCATAAATCAGAAAGGATCAACGAACTGTTTGGAACACTTAACAATAAAAGAAAGGGTTGCATTATATGAACACCTACGCCAGTATTAACCTAACAATTATAAATCCAGCAGAGATATTAAATTTAATGTCTAATCAGAAAAAATAGCTTTGGACGGAATATCAACAGGTATTGTGAAGGTACCACAGATGATATAAATATCACTTGAAATTTTTCAGACTTTATTTGGAAAATTACAGAACATACACAATTGGGAATGGGTTTTTTAAATCGGGCCTTAATATATAGGCAGAAAACACCTGGTTACTGGTACCTATCGTAAATAAGTGATATTTATACTTTGTATATAAGTAATTTTTGTCTTGCTAGCGATAAGGATGTAAAATGTTCTACCTATTATTAAAGAATCACAAGCATTTCAGTTTAAATATAATGATGAAAAAAATTGTACAAAGTCATGCCCAAATGCATATATACTGAATTGCGTTCCAGGTTAATTTTAAACAATGACAATAAAAAAATATTTAATGCAACAATTGACAATGAAATGGACGGTTTATCATATAAATGGTTATTAACTTTACATGATTAGGTTAGGTATATACATATTTCTGGTTATCGATCAACGAAAAGCCAGATTGTTTTCAAATGAATTAGAAGCTGATCAACAGCAAAGGTATAAATAGATACAAAAAGTCCTACAACAACCTACACATGTAATTTGCATTTTTTCCAGATATATTTTTGCGTAATTTCCACCAAGAATTTACATGTACATATTGCTCAAGTAAATCACTCAATTTTAAATAATTCCAAATATTTATCCGTCAATAAGCTCATGCCTGGTAACAAGTCCACGCATATCTATTGCAGGCAAGTAGAAATGCAAACCAAGACAATTTCATTGTCCTTTTAAAAGCCCACCCCCTACTTTGAGTCAGATTATGAGCTGGTCCTATGGGCTTATGACAGGATATATAAGGGAGTAGTTTTTTTTACTGATCTTTTAAAAATTCATCAAGTGTCCTGGAAAAGTTGAATTACAAATTATAATGTTAGCAAAAATATATATATAGATATAATTAACATGATCTTCAGTAACAAAGCAACAGGTTTCCTGCCACAAGTTCCTGAGCCGGTCAGCAACAGGTATAATTATTACCTGACTCTCTATTTAAGTGTATATGAAGTATTTTTGACTGTTTTAATAAAAAATTCTCTGGAAAAGACTGAAAACCCGTAAAATAATGTCAGGGTGCAACAGTCGACTTTTGCACACTTACTGTTGCATGCGCGACAATCGTGCGCAGACAATTTCCCCGTCGGCGGCCCCACTCAAGCGTCTTTTTGATACAGATTTGTTTGTTGTCGTCTGGTGAAAATGGCAAATAACGGCAGCTTTGAGGATGTTTCTGAGCAAGATTTGGAATTGCTTATGGAAAATAAGGACTCTTTTAGTACAAAAAACGTCAATACGGGAGCTGTGAATATTTTGGATAAATGCTGTGCAGAGAAAGGTGTTATGATCGACAAAAGCTGCAGTAATGAAGAATTTATCCTAACTCGCACAATTCAGGAAGTTTCTTAATAGAGTCAGGTAATAAATCATTTGTTTCATTGGTACTGGGGGAACAGTCAAATCCTTGACCCTCGGCAGCAGGGACTGTTACACACAAGTGTTTATAAAACTAACATCCATCTACTGATTCGGTTCACCACTGATTCCATGAGTACTGTTTCAGTTATAAATGATCTGACCGGTTCAACCTGTGTAATGGAAAGCACCCTTCTTGTTACTAGCCCATCAGATATGCCACAGACATGTGCAACACTTGACAGGTTCATAGCAGACTCCCTGCCTCGAGCGACGGTCGACCATGCTGTTCCGTTTCACCTTGTTGATAATCCAGAATGGTATCATGATCGCGAAAAATACTGTAAGTAGTAAAAGATGTATTATTGGCATAATAATTATTGATAAATCATAAATTCTATATAACATCTTAACATACATATTTTAATACAAGTTCAGTGGGACAAATGTCCCAAATGTGGGCATATTGAACAATTAATGATATCATGAAAATTTGGTTTACTACTGTGACATCAAGAGAGGAAGGTTTGCACTCTTTGATCCTTTTTTAGCTTCCTCACCCCATCCCTGCTGGAGGATAGACCCATCTCAAGTATAAATTGTGATCCTCATCAATAATGGATAATTTCATAAGTAAATTTCTGATTACCACAAACTGTGGATCATCTTATGAAAGGATCGTAAAAATCCACCTGTAAGTAGTCTCGGAGATATTGTTAGAATGTTAAGTACTCTCAGTCCCCTGGAAGGGTGGAGGTTCAGCCCCTTCTTTAGTAAGCATTCTGATCTCCACCAAAGACTGAGAATTGCTAGCAAGATTGATCAAAATCTGACAGACAAATTTCTAAGGAGAAGTCAAAAATATGATTGTTTACAGCCTACGTATGACGCTCAATGAACAACAGAGGATGCATGACACTCAGAAATGGAACACTGATAAATGTTTTTACATGAAAACTTGTCAAAAACAGTTTGAATTGGGGGAAGATAAACACATAAAGTAACATTGTCCAACACAATATTATGAATTATTAAATGTAATTATGAAACTTACTTATGGAGACGCAGGTGAACCAGGCAATGGCCAGAGATATGTAATACAACTCCTCTGTGGTAGATTTCTGAAAATTGCAAAACAAAGGAATATGTCAGAACGTACAGTATCTATATAAGCTTTATAAGAAATAAACAGATGGAGGAGAAGCTGGGGCAATGAGACACTCCTTGTGTGGCCCCACGATGCCAATGACCCCAACACATCATGAAATTGATTATTAACTCATTCACCCCTGTAGTTTAATAATGAACTATTCCAACCTTTAAACTGGAAGAGTTAAAATGCGTCTTCAGGGGTGAATGAGTTAATGGTATCACGAACAATAGTTTGACCCCAAAAGGTCAAATGAAGCTTCTTATCTTCTGAATGTTCCTGGTGTCCTACATGGCAGAGAGGTGACGTAGAACTCAATAACCAATACACTATGATGTAAAAGTGTGTTCAGCTATAGTGTGTTGAGATATCTTATTGTACACTAGTACTAATGTTAATACCCGGCCTCTTGTGGACCGCTTTGTAGTTCTGATGACGCAATATAAAATAAAATCTGTCCTCATCAGAAAGCTATGTTATCGCAGCTAATTGTACACAAGCATTTTACTACGGACAAATGGACAGACAGATACAAACACACTGAAGGATGCTCTGACAATGCGATTACTACATATATATATACCTCTCTCACAAATTGGAGGATATAATTATACTGGTATAATAGAATGATACATACACAGTTACCAGCTTGAGAGGTATACACAACAGCTACCAAGCCTTCCACAAAACACATGATCCCAAAAATGTGGAACACAATCTTCAACTCCCGAGGGACCGGAATCATCAACATGAACAGGAAGGTAAAACCTGTAAACGTATAAACAGTTCAATCTGAAAGACCTACTCATTCTTAAATACCAAATTATATTTCATTTCAGATATTAGATGTTGCATTGTCATCTGAATACAAGATGGATTTTTTTTTTTTAAATTAGATTTTTTTTTATCAGGTTTTGGAAAAAATTAGCACAACCTTCCATTGGGAATGGAGTCATTACTAAAATGGCCCCCAAAAAAACCCTGATAATTATCTTAGGAAAGACTGCAGCTTTACATCAAATACTTACCAATAGAAATAAACGTGAAGATGATGGACACGATGAGAATTTGAAGTAGAGGCTGTTCACACCAACGGGCTGTTGTAGGCTGTAGGAGGACATAGAACTGGGGCACCAACAGGGCAAATGTGATCACCATCATTACGATAAATCTGGAAAAATTATATAGCAAATATTGGGGCACCAACAGAGAAAATGTTATCACCATCATTACGATAAATCTGGAAAAGTTATAGTAAATATTGGGGCACCAACAGGGAAAATGTGATCACCATCATTACGATATCTCGAAAACTTATAGTAAATATTAAGGCACAAACAGCACAAATGTGATCACCATCATAACGATAAATCTGGAAAAATATTGACACCAACAGGCTAGGGTACACATCATCATTATACATGTATCACCAAAAAATATATGAAATTTTACAAAGTCAGTCCTGAGAACATCAATTCAACTGCAGTAAATACTTATAAGTCTTTTTATCATTTTCTGTGGTTCACCTTTAGCTCACCTGCTCAAATGGTAAGTGAGGTTATGCCATGGCTTGGCGTCAGTCATCCGTCTATTGCAACTTTTCATTTTAAACGCTGATAGCTCTGAACGGCTTTGTGGATTTTAACTAAGTTCGACCTGGAGTATCCTCGGCCAAATGGGATTTACGTTTGTATAAACGGAGGGTGTGACCCTGGGGGTAGAGGGACTGGGCCCAATAGGGAAACTTCAGGTAAATCTTTAAAGTTCTTTTCCTTTTGTACAAATTTAGGGATTTTAACCAAATTTTGTCTTGAACATCCCTGTGAAAGGGGAATTCATTTTTGTATAAACGGAGTGTGTGGCCGGGGGAGCTGAGGGGCTGGGCCAAAAAGAGGGTAAATTGGCATTAAAGCAATTTCTTCTCTGGAACGAAGTGATGGATAACAACCATATTATGTTTGGAGCATTCTTTGGTGGTTGTGGATTCAAAGTACCAGTTCAAGGGCTGACCCCCCTGGATCTTAGGGGTAGGGCCAGAAAGAATTTTTAACTTTGGACATTATAGAGATCCCAAACCTATAACCATGTAAACAGTTGCTGAGCATCAAGGGAAAAACCCAATCATGATAGAATGATTGACCTTGTGTATAATTATATATGCAAATTCATCTGAATGTTTCTCGTAAATTCTTAATATGTTTTTACAAAGAAATATGAATATAGGGAAATGCTTACATTTTGACCCGATTATTTTGAGGAAACCAACGGATGAGGTGATAGGCATTGTGAGCCCAACAGTAGTTCCACATCATGAGGCAGTGAGGGCAGTTCAATCTTTCTCAGGCTGCAAATAGATAATGTTTATAAAAGTTGATATATAGTACAGAGCTATGAAAACACCAGAGAATTCCAATTAAATTTTTCATGCAGACAGTAACCTGACCAATTAACTCATTCACTCCTGATGACAAATTTGAAATCTTCCAATTCAAATGTTGGAATAATTCATTTTGAAATTTTAGGGGTGAATGAGTTAATTTCACATACAGTAGTGCAGTTGGGCCAGGGAACTATTGCTGATCAGTTAGCTCATCAATTGCTTCAAGTGATCCAAGTCCGATCTGGTCACTGCCCATTTGCTTACAGCAACCACATTGTGATCAGAGGTGCTGGGTTCAAATTTCAACCTGGCCACAGTAGAGTTTTACTCTTGGAACACGTACTAGCTGTCATACAATATATATATATATAAATATCTTTTGGGTTTTCATTCATATTTATTAAAAACGTTTATTTTTTTCACCCAACTCTCCCACTCAACTGCTAAGTTACTATACTGCTCAATTAATATGTTTTCAGTAAAGAACATGTATAAAGATAATGTAACATATTTCTAAGTGTATGGCTATAGATTATAAAATGATTAAAAGTAAAACGTATCTATTCTGGTGAGGAATCTAAGTACAATTATAAATGAACGGCGTTGGCTCTACTCCGTGCACCTCACTATTCTGTTTACCGACATACAAAACGTTTTAATATAAATTAATAGAATAATGTAATTGTTATCAGAAGGTTAGTGTAACAACTTTTGCAAAGCAATATAATCTGGTCTTACTTACGTAAAGTTCTAAAGTTCACACATATACCTGTATGTGACATGCCATAAAGCTTCATATCTGTGTACCACAAAACTTTAACTCAGTCCTTTTTTTTCAAATATCAAGCTAAAATTTGGTATATAAGTGAACTATTATCATGAATAACGTATCTGCTGAAAATAATTTGCTCACTTTTTTAAGAATTTTTAAAGATTGTGTCTGGAGACTTGTTGTCAGTATGACCCTTGTAAAGTGTAAACAGTGTTTATCTCAGTTTTGCGAAGTACTGAAAGTGTATTAGTGCTTGTATCTGGTATATTTCTAACACCTTGAATTGTAATCCAAAATCTATGATGTACCACAGACTGATGATCTGGTATGTTAATATGTTAGGATATATAATAGACTTCCCCACCCTTCTATATTGAGTAGGGGCGACTAATTTATATTTCAACATATTTACATACCATGTGCAGATGCCTGTGGATGTACACACTTAAATTGTGTGTACAGCACAAGGTGGATTTTGAATGTTAGAAATCACAGAACCAAGTGCCTATGATTGAAATGGGGGGAGACAGCCGCTGGTTGGCTATTTTTGTTCGGATATGATTTAGCCTGAGTTTCCTGGGGCCCTGACACTAGATCTAGACATTATCATGAATCACTCACTGAATCACTGGTTGACATCGAGTTAAGCCAATTGCTTTTTGTGATGTATGATCAATTGTCGATAAACTTCCCCTGGATGCAACTTCCTTCAATCCAGTTGCGCTAGCAGGTTAATTTTCAATACTTATTATAGTTAGCTATTAACAATATTATGTACATTATTTTACTTACAGTTATCTCTGATCATATGTTCCCCTTGGTATTATAGCGGTTCCTAGACTTATTTAGTAACGCTTAGCTTAGAGTCACAATTTTCTGTATCTACAATACAGTTGTTAAAAAGTATACACACATCGGAAGCGAGTCAGAAACTAGTAATGTCATTGACTGCTCGCGAGCCGATATTTATAAAAACGAGGGCTCAAATTTCCGTGGATGATTTTTCCAATGCTTGTTTAACCTGTCCTTTAAACAGTTAACACTAGGAGCCGAGTTCACATGCTCTGGTAGAGAATCATTATGACAGATAGGCCTAGATGTCTGCTAGATATGATTTAGCAAGAGATTATTGTGCCCAACATTGTTTGAGTAAATGACTGCATGTGATTAACTCATTAATTTTAATGATTGCAACTACCTTGTGCAGCTATTTGTTAATTGCATAGGCAGCGTCGGATCAGGTAAAACGTTGAATGAACAATACAGGACAGTCACACAAGTCGAAGACATAAAACGACTGGAAGAATAGTGCGAGCAATAGTTTGTAACTCGACTGTCTTATCTGACGTAGGCTATGACAATTTTCAATCATTTCCGGTGAGTTTATTTTAATTTCCAATATTCGCCTGGTTGAAATTGCACGAATACGTTTCGAATTTTGTGGATTAAAGTTCAACATGGGTCTTATGATATCCTATCAAGCTAAGTCATCATTTAACAACGACAATCTTACCAAAACCTCTCTGCAATCGGTGGGTTGGCAAGCACTTGTTTATTTCCAAAATGTCGGACACCGGAAATTGATGACCTACGAACGACAACTCTGTATTGACATGTCAAACCGAAACAAGACTTGATTGCTCAAAGCATGGTTAGCTTTCTGATAGGCCAATAACAAAATGATACATATATATAACGCCTGCACGAAAGTTTGAATCTTAAGTAAATTCACCACTAACTTCAAATGTCTTGATTTCAAAAATAAATATAGAAAAGTAGATACAAAAATATTCATAAACTGTAAACCTGAAGTAAATATGATAGAGTCCCATCATTGACCATGCAATAGCTGTATCTTGATTTTTTCAACCTAATTGTTAGAATCATACTGGAATTATGAAATTATCGAGGTCCATGTAACCAATACTTATTGCTTATGAAATATCATGAGGAGTGAAAAATTAAGAAATGAAGAACAAAATACCAAACATAACATACCAAATCATTTCGTATTGTAATTCTAAAATGGAAAAACAAAGAAAAACGTCAATAGGTCACTCAGATTAGCTTATAGCTGGTTACAGTTGTCGCTGATCTTTTTCGATACATAGGAATCACCAATCGTCAAAACCTGCGTAGAATAGGCCTTATTCGGCGGTTATAAATTCTTCTTGTTTATGTTGTTGAGATAACTTGTAATGGTGTCTCAATTTAAGCATCCTCGATATCCAGGGGTTACGCTCACTTTCGCTGGATATCGAGGATGCAATTTAAGTACAGTTTTGTAATACTTAAATCGGTTGCAATAACATGAAAATATTTTTAAAAATGAGAAGAGCTATAGATTCAGATCATTAGTTTTTTTGAGACTCCTGGAATGTTCCAGAGTAAAAGATTAAAATCACATCATCTGTACTGAAGGAGGAATTTAAAGACTTTTCTCTAGTTGCCGCTATTGAGCCTTGTCCTGCTGCAGACAGAGCCAGACTCCCGTTTAAGCATGCTATTTGCCACCTATCATCACCCTGGAGCTCTTCATTATTTAAAGGTTAAAAGCAGGTCAAGGTAATTTATTGGCAGAAGCGTTCTACCCTGGTTCTGCAGAATGAGTTGTTTGGAGGTTTTACATATTTGATGCCTGTGACCTTGAAAGTGGGTCAAGGTCATTTAATTGTGAACAGTTTATAGCACCACATCACAGCATGCTACTGGCCAAAAATCTCTTAGTTATTCAGAAGAAGTTGTTCCAATTTTTTTTTTACATATTTGAGCCCTGTGTCCTTAAACAAAAGTCAAGGTCATCCATTTAATGAAAGGTCATAGCACTACAGCCATATACGTACTGGCCAAATATCATCTTCCTTGGCTTTGTGGTTATTCAGAAGAAGTTTCTTGTATATTTTTATACATGTGATCAGTGGTCTTGAAAGTAGGTCAAGGTCTTTAACTGGTAGAAACTTTATAGCACTCCATCCAAGGTACCAAATTGACAAATATCATGACCCTAGGTCATCCAGTTCTTAAGAAGAAGTTGTTGAAAGAAAAAAAATATGCACAACAGACTACAAATGATGGAGGGTTGACAGACAACAAACTATACCATAAGCTCACAGCCAGGTGAGCTCAAATAGGGATTTCAAGTATTTCAATCGGGGCAGTACAATAATCCTACAACATGGATTCCCAAATGGCCTCCAAGAGGAAGACATTGAAGAAAACGGAGAAAGAACTTATTCATTTAAAGATGTTTGTCGCTCTAATTCCACTGTTGCCACAAATGAATTATTCTTTTATGTGCCAACATGATTTATTGGTCCTAGGAATATTTCTTTAAATCTGACAAGACGAAGATGGCTTTCATGGCCCTAACATCTTCACATAATTGTAGCTGTTGTAAAGACATGAACACATGTAACAATATAGGTAGCGTGATGAAAACTAAAATCTGTCAGAAATCCCATACAAGTGAAGATGGTCAGGCATTATTGCTTTAGATTATCGGTCAGTTAATCTTCATATTTCTGCATTTCCCGTTTATATTATATATATATTTGTTTTGGCTTTCTGAAATGAACAAACTGAATCAAAGTGTTTAAATAAATGCTTCCTTACTTCATTTTTCTAGTAAATTCATATAAATTTGATGAATATAGCGTTACCGACATTAAATCGAAGTTCATTATCTTCAATCTTTGGGTAAAATGCTCACATTAATTTTTTTCAATTTGTCTCATTGGTTTTTGAAAATTCACTAATTTTATGTATAATGACTCACAGCTTTAGTATTTTGAATTGCAGACAGTCTCGTAAATGTTGAATCAGTTCAGCCGTCACTAAAAATACTAATCAAGAAAGCACCTAATGCAGAAAGCCATAGTAAACTGCACTACATGACCTTTTCGTCCATATAAGACTCGCCAAGATACTTGGAGCCAAAACAAAAACTTGAGTATTTAAATACATAACAAAGATATCAAAATGGTATGAAAATGGTTTATTATACAAGTGACATTTTTCATAGGATTCAAATTCCTATTAATATTTAGATTTAACCTGAAAGCAAAAACTGACCTTAGCTCCTTTGGCACTAAATCCAGCATACCGTTTGGAATGAGGTTATAAACATCGCCAACATCGATAGAAATTTGAATTCCTGTACATTTATTTTCTGATATTTGAGACTTGATAATGGGGAGATACAAGACAAGTATAGGTATGGAAAAAGCAGATGATTCTTTCTCCCAACATAACAACAACATTAAACGACCTCAAAATTCTCTCCAATATCCTAACAACACACATGTAACTTAATCATCAAAGGAAAACAAGATCAATGAATTTCTCCCTTTGATAGAAATGAACAGCTCAAAAATTTTAAAAAAAAAAGTACAGTTTTCCAGATATTGTCTGGTAATAATATGGGCTCACATAAAAGATGTCTTACACAATGACTAGAGTAATGCTGTTCTTATTTCACAAGTAAACATTTCTGGGTTAAATTTTGATTTAATTGTCCTCACTTTCAACAGACTTTAACAAAGTATGTAAAAGTTTTTAACTCCCCCTCCCCCTCCTCCCAATGTAATGCTTAATCTCTTTATGATGCCAAAATATCTTCAACACAAGGACATGTACTTGCATTTCAAGTCAAAGGAATTATATTACAATTTTTACCAAAATATGTAAATTAACAAGTCTCTATAGTTGCTAAGTAACAAAACAACGTAAAAATATAAGTTTTTTTCCTTTTTCAATATTTCTTCGATGAATTAATGAGTTTGAGTAAACAACATTACAATAAAGAAATACCATTTTGAATCAAATCAACATAAAAAATGAATCATTGATGAAGTTGAAATGAAACCTTTTCCCCATATTTATATGGAATTTTCCAATGATAAGATGTAGAAACAGCATGGAGACATAAACGCATGTTTTGGTCTGTACACCGATGGTCTAGATTATGTTATTTGAAAAGAATTGTTTTGATATATGAACTATTTATACATGTATCACGAAATGTTAAAAAATCACATAACTGTTAACAGTTACAACTAGAAAATAGCGCCTTAAGGTAAAGGATACCACTGCATCAGTAAAAATTACAAAGAAGAGTTCCACACAGTGCTTTTTGGCTTGAATTATTCTCCCTTCTAAATAAATTATGAAACAAGCCATTCGGATTGATATGTCTTGCCTGTGCCCGTCTTGATCTTTAATGCACATATCAGAGAAGCTAACTAAAACGCAAAAACTTAATGTTGATGGAGATGCTGACAAAGTCAATGAATCATAAAAGGTAGGCCGCATCCAGCATTTGATGCATGGGCAAAGTTTGGTTGGTGTAGCACTTTCAATGAAACTAACTTAAAGTTGAGTTAAACACAAAAACTTCATGATGAAAAACAAAAACAAAAAGACTTTTTCTGCCTTAGAGTAACTTCCCTTGCAAAGTTTATTATATGCATTGTGGCTCATTAAATTGACACTCATTTTGATGCTGGGTTTGTATAATTCCTGTTTCCGTTTTCAAATATTCAAATTTCGAACAACTACAATTTTGTAAAATGAAAGGCAACATGTGATTTTTATGGATTAATTCTTTTGTATAGAATGTAATGGTAGTTATGTAGGTTTATTTATTGGTACCCTTTACCTTAAGAATTTCTCATAAATTATATCAAAGTGTTGTACATTATTATACAATAAAACTTTGGCTAAAATAACACCCTGCACTTTAAAGCGCGTCTAATACTTTACAGGATTTATGTCACCAAAACATAAACCATCGAAGATATTGGATTTATGTCTCCAAAACATAAACCATCGAAGATATTGGATTTATGTCTCTAAAGCATAAACCATCGAAGAATATCTAACAGACTTAAAATATTAAGATTATTTTACTTGTTATCAGTAACTTGAATTCACATATTACTTTTTCTCCCCAAAATCACATCTAATTTCAAACAGTCCCGTTATTTCTATACAAACATAACATATTTCTCCTAACTTTGGTCTCCCTGCCACTAATCCAACAAGGACAAGGGTAGATATTCTGTCATCGTTGGATACCTATGGCTGATTTGCTTCCCTACTCATGATAAGTAAGTAGCGAAGTGAAATCAGCCGTGGGTATCAGACGATGGTATTCTGTCGGATGAAAGAATCAATTTGTCAATGTGTTTTAAACAGGCAAATGCTCAATTAAAAGTGGTGGATTTTTTTCAATACAGTAATTAGTCAGACACTCTATATATTCATAAGGTCTCATTCAGAGCTTCTCTACATTTGGGATTTATTAAAAGAACATGTAATTTATTTGAAAACTTTGTTCGAATAACTCATTCACTATAATCAAATGTCAAAAAAACATTTTTTTTTTCTTTTTACAAATTGTAGCAATTTCTTTTCGACCGTTGATAATAAATAAATATAACTACCTATTTATAGTTCTGACTTTTCAATTTTGAACACATACTTCATCTAATATTTACATTAATTTGTTGCTGAGCTTACCACATTTTGTACAAATTAAGGATCCTTGTCCCACTGGGCTGCTGTTGTTCCTATACAAAGTAACCTCCCCTTAACTTCTCTTTGGCCATATCTTCCATCAATTGGCTAGAGCGATATTATAATAATTTGAAGTACAGAGTTCGAATCCCTGTCTAGCCAGCTAAATCTTTACACTAAGAACACTGTGTTTATTATATTTTGTTTAATTCATCTAATTAATTTTTATAAAAGTCAAAGGTATGGTTTTATTTATAGAAATGATTTATCATAGCTGCAGTCATGCAGAAAAAACAGTTTCCAATGTGTTGTTACATTTTCTGGCAGTGGTACAGGGATCCTCAACACAGACGTTAGATCAAAGAACGTATTAAAAGTATTTAGGTGTTTAAACACAACAAACAAACAAAATTGATCATTTGGCCAGCATGTGTAAACAAATAAGTTAGACATAATTAAAAACGGTTGAGTTGAAACAATAGCACTGACAAGTATATCAACAATAACAGTTTTGTCAGTTCAACTGGTAACTGGAATGGAAGAATATGGACAATTTGAGGTGGGTTGGTTAACAACAGTAACATCGATAACAGAGGGGGCAGGATAATTGTAGTACATAATTTTGGAATTTGTATTTTATTGGGAAATGATTGTTTGCAAAATATATGGTACTAAATTATTCATTATCTATAAACATTTACATCGTACCAACATAATGTTTTTGTTGCATAAGCAACAATAAGTAAATCAAATTTAAGGAATATTCAGAAGCAGGGGCCCAAGTTTCACAAACATTCCTTAACTTAGATAAGGAGATCCTTTAACACATTTTTTTCATTTTTGGGGTTCTTGAAGGAAACGATCACAAGTTAAGAAATTTTGTTACGGTAATTTCAGTAATATTTTCCTTTGGAACATTTAACCCTTTCACCACTGTAGATGATAATGGACTTATCCAAATCAATGCATGGTTGATTATATTTATATAGGGGTGAAATGGTTGGAGGTAACAAATTCCCTTAATTTAAGGAACATTTGTGAAATCTGGGGCAAGGGCCTGAACTTATAAAATGGAATAATATAATTGGACCACAATAGTATAAAAGGATATTAGTTGGACCACATTAAAAGAATTTCCTCAAAAAAATATCACATTGCTATGTAACATTGTTGGCAGAGTTGAGGGATTAGTTTTGTTGGACCCATAGAGCAGACGATAGACTAGGGCAACCATTTTATCTTCCAGCCAAACCAAACAACCTTTGCTCTCAATCTTACTATTCAAACAGAACATAGGTGTTTAGATATAATAATTTGGGCTTCTTATATACCGCTTTATTACAACCTAGTTCGTACGTCGTCTCAAAGCGGTTCACAAATTATTATCCGTGGTTATAGGGCCTTTGCAACCAGACAATATCTTTCTCAACTCCCTGGGGAGCGTACAGCCGGTGCTGCCATTTCGGCGCTCACAGCTAGCATTCAACAATTCTAGCACTGCCCAGTCACATACTCATTTACAGTAGACTGGAAAAGGAGAGTAAAGTATCTTGCTCAAAGATACAACACAGTGCCGTGCCGTGAGTCAAACCTGCAACCCTTCGGTCACGAGCCAGGCGTCCTACCACTACACTACCATGCCTCCAATATCTGAACGTTGTGAGAGAAAAAGATCCCTAATCTCAGGGTAGTTGATTATCATGTTTATCTAACTCAAGTTAGTTAATTTTCAATTTGTATAAAGACACCTGAAGTTTACCGAGTACCTTTTTTCCATTTGAAAATTAACTAATGCCGAGACATTCAGGTATTATATCTAGAAAACTGCCTGTTCTGATTAACATTATAACCATGCAACCATCACTGGTTGGGGAACCACTATATACCAGTATCTAACTCTAAATATTGAAGTACTATTATCACACTTGCAATTGTGTCTTTAAGTTTGAGTCATAGAATTACTACATTTGTCCAACCAATAAACAACATTATAGTCATTATCAGTAGTTACTTGTCTAACGCTAGCAATCTGTTTTTGTTCAATCATTTTGAGCGCAGTGTAAAATTATTATTAATTGATATGTGAAATGGTTGTTAATTTGATCCTCTTCAGACAATCAGACCCCCCTTAATGTCCATTGTAAATTCGGTATATAAATATCTTACCTTCCTCAGCAATAACATACATACTCAAACACAGTTTGATAAAGCATTCATTATGACGACCACATTTACATGAACTTTTTCTGTACAAACACATATGTATATCTATATCTATATAGTTCAGTCTTTTAAAGACTTTTTGTATCGTTCATATATGAAGACATAAAAAAATAACACTGCATATATAGTTAATTATCACCAACGTTTTCAAGCCTTACGGCCATTTTCAGTTGATCATTTTTCATGTTTTGGTTACAACATAAGACGTAATGCAATCAATAGAAAAAAGGGAGATAATAATGTTATTGTTACACATGTAATGTATAATAAGCTCCCTGTTTAAAATGCAAGTAAAACTTGTACCATATGAAGAAATAACAACATACTGATTAACAAATTTTTTTTTGCTATTTGAATTACCTTATGGACCCTAAATACTTATGGTACACAATAAGATGTTGACAATATAATTGTCACTGGTATATAAGATCATAAAAGGATGTACTGAACACATATATGATCTGGACACATGGAAACACACATTTCTTCTTGTATTAGATTTATAGTCTATCACTCCTGTCAGATGTAGACAGAGAAATTTTCCAACAGAGAGTAAGTTTTTGAACTGTAACACAAAGATTTGCTAAGCATCAATAATGTTATTCCGCGGGTTGAGTTCCTACTAAGCATCAATAATCTTATCCCGAGGGTTGAGCTTTTTCTACTAAATATCAATAATCTTATCTCGAGGGTTGAGCTTTTCTTACTAAGCATCAATAATGTTATCCCGAGGGTTGAACTTTTCCTACTAAGCATCAAATATCTTATCCCGAGGGTTGAGCTTTTTTTACTAAACATCAATAATCTTATCCCGAGGGTTGAACTTTCACGAGGGTTGAGCTTTTTCTACTAAGCATCAAAAATCTTATCCCGAGGGTTGAGCTTTTTCTGTCAGCATTACACAGGAGTGAATGTTTATTTTTCTAACACACTTTCCTACCGTAAAATATGTCGCAATGGTGAACTAAATGCCCTATGCCATCAATTAGGGCGTGTGAAATTTGTGACAAAATGGAAATGTTGCCGTCGTTATATTGCATAAACTGGTGACACAATGGTGACGTTATCAGAATAGCACATGTGAGCTGTCTATAAGATAGGGTTTTCTCCCTCCCTTCACAGAGTTATCTCCCATTTTTCCCATTCATGATTCTCCTGTCAGCCCCTAAGCATCATTTCTCTGTCACCCCCTAGAGTATGAGATAAGACATGAAAGTAAACAATACCATGACGTTACAGAAACAATCGGATATGATGTCATAATCATCTCTCGACGGGAGAAGCCATATGCAAATCAGGGTAAAATCAGATTACAGATTGCAGTCTTGTGAAAACTATTGCTTTTAACAAAGCTACTGGAATGATGTAGGGGAAAGAAAGCGTCTTGGGTAGACACCAAAATAATTACCCCTTCGGTTGGAGATTTCTCTGTTACACCCTCAAGGTAGAGAAAGATTCTATAAATAATTTTTCTAGCAAAAACTGAAATGTACTATAGAAATATGTATCTGTTATATTAAATAGAACAATAACCATATAATGACCACACATGATGTATTTACATCAATGGAAATTTATTTTAAGTTTTATTTGGAGCGAAAATAACTGATTTTCATAATCATTTTTGTTCTGTTACAATAAATGAATGTACTAGGCTAAAAATGTTAAAATTTTCATCTGAATAATCTCCATTCAATAATTTCATTTCAATCATTTTCTGATAGGGCTGCCTTTTTTAATCTTGGGAAATGTACGATTTATATTTCAGTTTTCAATTTAATCAGTTTTAAAATATTTCACATTGTTGTCAGTTTAACAGGCCAATGAAGATTATAAAATGGAGACTAGAAGACACGTAGAGTAGATATCTGATTCCAGTTGAAAGATAACGACTAATCCTCAGAAAAAAAAGAGACATACTTCTACTAATCCTCAGAAAAAAAGAGACATACTTCTACTAATCCTCAGAAAAAAAGAGACATACTTCGACTAATCCTCAGAAAAAAAGAGACATACTTCGACAACATATATATAACGTCCACAAGATATCTCAAAAACCTCTACAAATAAGATAGCACCAGGAGAGGAAGGAGTTCCATACTTATCTTGTCATATTATACAAATTTGGTGATAAAGAATAAAATGTCAATAGTAATATCTCTTGTGACAAATGCCAAGCACTCTCACAACTTATCTTACATGACGTAATGTTAACAAGTCTTTCAAGCACACACACAATAACATGACATCACCGGATGGTCTGCTAAAAAGTGGCTTACAATAATACCTAATGGACGAAACTTATTTTGCATAATCATCAAGTTTTATCTAAGGGCTATTCCATAATTAATCATATGGGGGAGTTGTGAGAGGCACCTGGGGCCTGTTCATTTATGCGGAACAATGGGTTTGACTGTTTTTATAAATCCTGGTGGACCTACAAATGTTTATGCAGGCCTTGCAAGGCTTTGTCAAGGCTCGCCTGAAAGCAGCATCAGATTACTGGGTCCGACATTATTACATAAAAGAACAACTCTGGTCAAATCGGTCCAATTGTTTGGATCGCTATAAAGAAAACGGCCCTGTATCAATAAATAATGAGAGGAGATGTGAAAACTAGATATGCCAACCATTTCTTATAGTAAATCATTTTAAAGATTTTATGGGTGATGGGGTAGTATTTTATGATATGTACTACACCATGTGACGTCTCCATCGAAAATGTTCTCATCCCGAAACGATAGTTGTATTCTTGTCAACTCAGAAAAAGTGCCTCCACCCCTCAACGTGGTTGATTCTGAAACAGCCCTAATTAATTAATTCTATACTAAGTGAACACTGGTATCAAGCATTCCACAAAATATCACGACATCTTAGAATTCATTACAAGTTGTACATAATAAAAAAATTAAATGCATACAAAGTGATAGAAAATCTCATTTACAGATCACCATTCAACAATACAATCTCAATTTGTTATATAAAGATCTCCTCCTCCTCCTCCATTTTACAAAAGTAAATATTTATTTATCCATGCGCACAGATGAGAAAAACATATATAGTTATCTCCCCTTATCAAACCTTTGTGATTTGCATAATTATCTAATTTATTTCATCTTTTCTTCTCATCAATGACATTTATCATATGAGATTGACCAATTTGTACCCATCTTATTTACCTCTTTGTTCCCTATTTTATGATGTGTCATCTCCCCCGGCTCAGAAGGACATGTTGAAAGTAAGTAATGTGATGAGCAAAAACTCCAGCTGATATTGAAATCGAGCGCCAATTTATGCTTAACAGTTATGCATATACATGGCATACATAATATATACGAGTATGATCATCCAAATTGTTGTACATAATATATATACATATATATACATTATTATTGTTCAAATATCTATGGGAAATTGCATATTTTATAATTTAACTCATTCATCCCTGAAGACACATTTGAACTCTTCCAATTCAAAGGTTGGAATAGTTCATTATGAAACTTCAGGGGTGAATGAGTTAATAAGTTCACTTTTTTAGGTAGTTTCTTTCATAATGTTGACCCCTTAAAACTATAAGATCAAACAGCCAGAAAATGAGTAACTGGTTACTATATATACCAACTGCCTTCCTGTCTGATATTCTAAACAGAACAGATATAGAAATAACAAAGGTGATAACAGTTTCTATGTGTTATTGTAGAGTCGTAGCAATATGTGTCACTAGTATTGTAGAACCTTGTTTGCTGTCACAGATAAGTTATACTTCCATAACGTAACGATAACATCTCAATTCATAAAAAAATATAAGAAAATCTATCTCATGCCATACAAACTTCTCACAAGAAGATTTAAACCAGATTCAAATTTCACTGATATAATTTATGAACTAATATCATCCGACAGAAAAGTCAATGCCCAGCTGGTAACTTCAGATATGCTGTGTATTGGTGGCATGTATTATCCCTCTCTTGACCAAGTTATACTTCGGACAGATTAAATGTGTGAAGTTCGGTTTCATCAGAGAGCTGTGGGTTGGCAGTGTTGACTAAGGTGTAGTCCTGGTCAACGGATGGTATGACCTTGAGATCCTGGGGGTCAATGTCCTCTACTTCGCTGTCCTCGTCATCCTCCGCTGGGTGCTGACCGTTCGCTTGCGCATCAATACGACCCTGAATTGCTTTCCGTAACTGAATTAGACAAAAATAGCACAGGTTAATAACATAAGTATGAAATATAGCACTTCCATTTCATGTGGCCAATCTCTCCCAGTGTTATTCCTTGGAAAATATAACACAGGTACAGTTACTGTGTGGAAACTATCAACCAATCAGAGCATGGTATGAAAATTAATTATGCACAGATTATGTTCTACTTTGAGCTTCATAAGAATCCAGTCACATTTAACTCATTCACCCCTACATCTTTAAACTGGACTTGCCCAGTCTTTGATTTGGTAAGGTTCAAATGTGACTTTAGGGGTGAATGGGTTAAAGTGCAGAAGCTGCCAACTAATCAGAGTGCAGTATGCTAGTTAATAATGTATGGGTTTTTCTCAATTTGAAGCTTAGTTGTAGCCCTGTATATCGTACATGTCTACCAAGTTTCATTAAAAACTATAATGAAGCAAGTTATCTTGCAGAAAGTAAAGCGTACATGTTGACCAATTAGAGCGCTGTATGCTAATTAATTATGCATGGATTTCTCTCATATGCAAACTCAGCATTAGCCTTTATATACTTTACATGCTTACTAGGCATGTTTCATCAAAATCAAATGATGTTTAAGAATGTTATCTTGTGGATACCAAAGAGTGGACAGACAGCTGGCCAGACACTTAACCCAAACCATACCATGTCCCATCAACAATGTTGAAATCGTATATAGATTTTAGACTGTAGGGAAAATTCCGGTACACCTACCTCTTTGAGCCCACACACACCAACCAACTTTCCAGCATTGGTAACATAGGCATGGTTCAGACCCAACAGTGAAAACAGAGAATGCACCTGTAACAGAAAGTAAAGACTGCATTAGATAACTCTGTACAATACTGTATATCAGGAAACTATCGCCCAGTGAAATATGTACCCTTCACCTGTAAAAACTATATACCTGGTAAGCCCAGTGTAATTTTCACCCTTTATCTGTAATTATATATATTTATTACATATGTACATTATATGCGGTGTACAGATATTCGCTGTCAAGATAAATTTGCCCTCAGATAAAAAATGGAAAAAGTTGAACTGCGACAAAAAATTCCAAGTTTTCCCTGGAAGAATTGGCTGTTTGTTACACAGGTATACAGTATCTTAACAACACAAAATTAATTCTTAAAGCGCATGGAATTATATCAGAGTAAAAAACATTTTTCCAAAGTATAACCTCAATAAAAAAACAGAAAAATACAGTAGAAATAAAACACACAAAGACACAGCTAAAATAATGTTGAATTTTCGTTTTTGTTTGCCATTACCTTGTGTAAAGATGTACGCTCCACCAGCTGAAAGGGGGCTGGGTCTATCTGGCAGCCCTCCCAATCAATGATCTCACTCAGCTGTTGCTCCTCCCATAATTGTTGCTGTACCAGAGAGTGAACACATTAACAGACATTATCTCTAATTAACTCTAAACTGGACATGTGTCACAAAAATAACAAATATAAAACTGTGTTGTCATTATATCCGAATAATAACTGAACATCACATAACGGAGAAATAAAGGAATCTCAACACCACAAGGACGTTTTGTATGATTTACTGTATGCATGTTTCTGCCTGTAATGCGGCCACAATCAACGCCCTGGTGATGTCCGCATAGCAGCCAGAAATATCTAGACAGTAAATCACATCACAAAACGCCCTTGTGGTGTTGAGATTCCCTTATTTCTCTGTTATGTTTTATATGTAAGGATCTCTATAAAATCCATTCACAGAGTGTTGGATCACCTTTTATTTTTTATTGAAAATCTCATAGTAATCAAGACCAAAAAAACACTTAAATCTGATCAGTGTGTTGTGAAATCCCAAACCATAAATGGTAAATACACATCAACAAATTTCTTTAATTTGAGATAACCAGACGCTGAGGAACAAACCTTGCAGCTTGTCATCAAACAGACTGGGCATGCCCCGAGCGGGGCCAAACAATGAACTTTGGATAAAAAAACGTTTACAGTTCAAACCAAATTTCATGTTCTAATTGCCAGTATAGACACTCTAAATGGCGCAATATCCCCCAAGATGATAAAAAAAATATTCTAGGGCTGTGACAAGATATTGATGCGTATCTGTACAATATTTTTGGTTTTGGTGATACAATAATATTTATACAATTGATTGTAATTGAATAATTGACATACCTTGTCTGTTGGTAGGTTTTTCACTCTAACAGGCTCTGGAGGCTGTAGCAAACAAATCAGAACAAAGTTAGACAGATAGACAGTTATAATTAACACTGCGATATACACCTAGTCCTGATGCAGACATATTTCACACTAACAGATAAATGACTATACATTTTGACAAAAAACTGAGCAAGGAAATATCAAAGCTAAGAAAGGATCTATTAATTATATATTTACAATATACAATAAGCCCATGTCTGGTAATAATCCCACCCAAATATATTGCAGTTCATTAGAAATGCCAACAAATGCTATATATTTCATTATAGCTTATTAATACCCCCCCCCCCTCACTTCTTTCAGTAAGAGATTATGTGTAGGCTCCAGGCTTATATTACACGATATAGAGTAGCACTTGATTCATACATAATCATGTCAAATTACAAAATGTACAAGTTTAAATATATTGTCATTGAATTAAAATCTGTTTCCAAAGGAGGATAGAAGGCTGCATGTACACTACATAGCAATTCTGTGAAATGCTTTTAAAACCCGAAATAACTCGAGTTACATGAATTCCTCATCCATAACATTTAGAATGTCAGTGATACTTTAAAATATGAATTTCCACTGATTCAAATTCGTTGAAATTTAAAAAAATAAGCTATTGTCAAAGATTAACAATTAGCCACCGCCAAGTCTTAGAAAATAGGTTTTAACATTCTGATACCCTTCACATCTGTTTTGTTCCAAATTTATGATATCTCAGTTGAGTGACAAAATTTATTTTTTTTTAAATTGTCTTTAATAAATATATTCATGATACATATATGATTATAATGTCTTAAATCGGAAAACAACCAAAATTAGTTTTACATATGTCAGCTTTTTTTTGTATTGAAAAAGCCAACATGGATAGTAATTTATTCTTTATTTAAGAAATAGAAAACTACGCCACTAATAAGAACGCATGCTCTACAACCAGGGTAAGATCATTTTAACGATCCACCTAACAAATCACACAACAGCCATTCTCTAAACAAAATCCACGCGTGCAGCCAACTAAGCTGAGACAGCTGTAATCTCCAGCTAGCTATAAACAGTAGGCCATGCATCTAAAACAGCCTACTATAACAAAATAAAAGAAAAACTAATAATAATCACAATAAATGAAAGACCAAAAAGAAAAAAGAAAAAGAGAAGGAAACATTTAGCAATAAATCTTATGGATCCTTGTGAAATCGTCCCACTACAGACAAAACATTAGATAGAGAATTCCACAATAATTTTCGTACAGTAACCTCCCCTTAATTTTGTTTTACATATAACTGAAGTGGGATTGGGGCACGTAACTAGTAACACACAGAGGTTTACACAGGCACTAATACTGTATATGAATTATGAAACAAACCTTATATAAACCCTGGTAAGCAAGTTGCAGTTTATATCAAATCTTGTTGGGTCTATTACCAAGTATAATCCACATGAGAATTGGAATGTGTAAGCAGGCACCCATTCAGCTTACTGAATTGGCTCAATGCTGCTTAACTATGAGCAAGTCCCATGGTACAGCTGGATAAGCTAGCTTTCTAGTAAGGCAGTATTTCCCCCTCATTTCCCTTGGCTGTTACACTATTCCCCCTACCAAGAAATCTCACCCCAAGACTTGGTATGGGTCATCCCTGTGAACCAATGTACCTTCCTATCCACTTGGAACTGGCCTAGCAATGTACTCAAGAATCCCACCGCTGCCACCAAATATAACACTTAAAAAGTAGTGATGCAGTATAACTCTTGGACTTTCTCAAAGTTAAGCAATGTTGAGCATGGTCAGTGGCTGGACTGTCCCTGCTTGCAGGTTACAGATCAAATTCTAATTAAATATAATTCCTACTCAATAATCATTCAATCATTGTATATGGAATGTATTACATAGGAGCACACTGTTTATGTACATGTATAATCTATAAAAGATGCCCTGATGCATATAAACAATTTTACACACATGCACAATGTATGTAGATAAGCTGCTATAGAAATGGAGTTGTGAGAGGTGTGGGGGAGAGGGGGTCAAGTCAGTGGCTACCAGAATAGTTCATCAATAAGCATTAGAAAAATTAGACAAAAGAATACTCGGCTGCCATGATAGGGAAATTTCAGGCCGAGAACCATATGAAGGTTCAGAGATTCATGTCACATACTGGCCAGTTCCTAAATCTTTGACCCTTGCATATGGCCCCTGTGTTAGCATATAAGATCATCTTTACTAAGGCTCAGAGATTCACTACACACAATGGGCAGCTTCTTCACCTTTGACCCTCAGAAGCTGCATGTTCTCTATGTAAGCATATTACCTATTTTTACTAAGGCTAAGAGATTCACATTACATAATAGTCAATGTTTTAAGCTTTGACCTTCAGAAGCTGCCTGGCCCCTGTGTAAGCATATATTACCCCTATCTTTACTATGATATGAAGATTCACTACACATGCTGGTCAGGTTTTTAACCTTTGACCCTCAGAAACTGTACAGCCATGTAAGCATATTGCCTTGAACTATTATATGGTAAAAAGATTCACCACACATAATGGCCAGGTTCAAAAAGCTTGGACCCTCAGAAGCTGTACGCCCCATGTGTAAGCATGTTACCTCTAACTTAACTATAAGTCAGAGATAACACATACATATAATTGCTAGTTTCAAAAAGCTTTGAACCTCACCAATAACTTTTATTGCTCAACTTCATATTCCATACCAGAATAGAATGATCAAGAAGCAAAACACATTAAATCTACTTACACGCTTCTGATTTTGAAATTATATGCAAATAAGTAAATAAAATTACTAAAACCACCAAACATAACTTTAGACAAATTCTTCTGAACAGAAAAAAAGACAGCTAAGGCAAATTTATCAAGAATGAGGGTTGAATTTGAAAGTGGGGATTGTAAATGTCATACGGTAGGACACCAGTAGAGCTTGTAATAAAAAAATTTTCATAAAAAAACAATACAACAACAACATCAATAATAACAACAATAATAACAAAACAATATAGAATAATCTGGGCCCATAAAACCTCTTATGCTCAAACTCAGGTTCTGTGCTCAAGTGTAATTTCTTGTTCCCTTAATCAATTCATAAATAATCACATTTTGTCAATGATTTGTAAGTATGGTGGACAGATTAAGGGTTGAATATTGTTTTAAATGTTTACACTTGACTTTTTACTGTGTTACATGATTTTGGCAACTTTAATAAAGTTGGCTTGAGAACAAAATCCATGTTTGAGAATTAGCCCGCTTTCATGAATACAGGGCCTGGACTCTGTTGTATCAACTGTTTCATTTGTTTAATGATGCAAAGACAAAATCTGATTCAATGAATACTTGATAATAACAGTGAATTTCCCTTAATATCACTTTTCATTTTTCATCCGAAAACATGACATTAAGTGGAACATGACATTAGCAGAATCTGTGTTTTTCTGATGTTTTTTAGCTGTCATAATGCAGAAGTGACCACATATAAACTTAAAGTGATAAGAACATTTACTACAATACCTAAAATCTTGATAATAAGCCAGATTATTTTTTTGTTTTCATAATGCCTGCATCAAGAACCTATGTCCAATAAGTGTCTAGGAATGTTATACATTCATTTTATAGGTTACTCCACCGTCACCATGTAGTCACCAAAAAGCTATGCTCTGACGACACCGGCCGAAGCTAGTCAGTCAGCAAAAGTATCAATACAGTTATTTTTGCTTTGTTTATTTGCTTTTTTTTTTTTAGTAAGGAATCCCAGGCTTGTTTTCAAAGCTGGCTTATTCTCATGGCAGACTTACTTTCGAATTCATTTAGACAGTAAGCCATCAATAGCCTATATTTTCAAGTCTTTCATTTTTCGCATGGAAAAATATTTGTTATATAGTTTTTAATAAAGTTTAAATGAACTTTTGTTCGAGATATGCTTGACTGCAAGGAGTTAAAGGCTTATTTTTAAGACCTGCCTTATTACAACTCAGGCTTAATATCGAGATTTTAGTGTAGTCTCTGAATATGTAGAGTATCATAGTAAAATAAGATTTCTTAGATTGCCAATATCACATTAGACCGCCTGCTATATTTTTTACCCTTTCACCCCTATGTAACTTTAGTAGACTCTACCATGCATTGATCTGGATGAGTCCATTATGGTCTACAATGGTGAAAGGGTTAATCTTGAGATATATGACTGTTTTCTTACATGGAGTTACTATGATATAACTAAAACATTTCAATTAGTTGCTTTTTGCAATGGTGGCCAAAGCAAATATTTCACAACATTGAATAAACTTGTGTTTCATCATGCTTATAATCTAGTCACAACCAGGCAGTCAAGGATCCAACATGAACACGTAGTACTTTCCACAAGATAACAGAACAGAATATCAAATGTGTCTGATGAACTACTTACAGAGCCAAGTGGTTTATGACCTGCCTGTGTGCGTAAGATACAATGTCAAAATAATTACAGGAGAAAATGTTACTTGTGACGCGTGCCATATCGTTGCCAGGTACAATTTTGTATCGCCCTACCTACAACTGAATTCAAGATGAGGTTCTTTGAAGGAAAAGCCAGGTGATAAATGATGAAATTCGTTTCTCAAATCTGATCAAACACACATTTCTGCTCTTGTTAATTTTTTTACATACATGTCTATCACTTATTTTTTATTTGTCAACTGTCTATTTTACAAGAATTATTATATGAAACAAGTTTTTTCAACACATATTAATTACTCTCATTGGCCCAGATTGAAGCAGACAGAAGGTATTAACACTTGGAGGAAACTGGAGTACTCTCAGAAAACCCACGTGGTTGGGCAAGTGACCCCATACCTTTTCACATCCAATCAGAGATATGAAGCCCAGTCTTGGTGGCAGGTGAGTGTGCTACCCACTGTGCCATCCGACCAGAGAGGCTAATTTGTTTTATAGATATGGATCACTGTGTAGAGCAACCACATATGAAATTCATATAAACCTGTATTACATGTATACATGGTAATACCAATGGCTATGAAATAGGCATCACAAGAAAGTTGTGTATATCACAGTTTTATATAACTGTACAAGGTTAACCATGTAGAGCGGGTATATATACTGTTAAAAGTTTAGCACCACATCTTTGTGAAGAGTTTTTCTTGAATTCAACATTTTTGCCAAAAACAAATGCTTTACCTCATACAATTCATTTTTCTTTTCTTTTTTGGATGATGACTGATTTTCCAAATTTTGATCATGCTTATTATCTCCCTTTTTTTCAAATGCAGAAATGCGTCTTCACAAAATCAACTTTAATTCAGTCAAGAAAGTAAGAATGTGCCTTTAAGTATATTTTGTGTATATATGTATATCACATATATATATATTAGATAGTAATGTAAAAGACTGCAAGGGTCTACTGTTTGTAGAAAGGGTTTTTATACCTGATGCATACATTTAGGTTAAGATTACGTTCTTGTCTTACCGACGAATCGTTTGCATCAGTAATATATAACGGTGATGTGTCAATTTTTTTGTTTCTGTTTTCACGATCCTGCAACACAAATGATTATTATTGCTGCGGATGAGCTATTCTTATACCTCATGCTTTGTATAACTGGATAATCTGATCAGATACGTCATTTTCAGGTAACTGTCACAGTCTGGAGGCAAATAAGGTTAATGATGATTTCATAACAGGGTAATTTTTGTCAATCATCATTTTGTTTTTTGGATGAGAGAATAAAATGCAGATTTGGCATATTATACGGCTGTTTTAGGATGGGGAATGCAAACTAGATTTTGCCCTTTTTTTTGGTGTTTTTTTTAAGATGAGAAGCATGTACACATACATTCTATTCTATTACAAGCCTACTTTAGAGTTAATTCAAGAGTGGAAGCAAAATAATCAAGATTTTGTCTATAAGAGGCCTATTTAGGATGAGGGAGAGCCGGTGTGTCTAAACTATTATGAGATAAGGTAAAACATGGATAGGAGTACCCAGAAGTTTTTTTAGAATCATTTCAAAACTAGAAGTAAAATCTAAACTATCTATTCTATTAAAGGGTTGTTCAAGGATCAGGTAATACAATCTAGATTTGTCTATGGTAGGGTTGTTTGGGGATGGTGAGGACTGGTGAGACTAGGCTATTATAAGGTTGGGTAACACTTGGACGGGAGTACCTTGCTTTGGGATCGGTGTATATATTTTTTGATTTGGGACAACACTTACCAATCGTACTTTCTTGGCCAGATTCTGGAAACTTCCCTTCTGCAAAATTCAATGCAAATATTGGAATAAATAAACAAAGGATCATTCAAGAAGATAAACTTGGTAATATTAGTCTAACTTGCGCAAACTGCAGAATGAAATGTAGAGAAAGTATGAGATCCATAAAAATGACATTATCCTTTTAAAACACAGCTGGACCATTGCCATCAGTGCTTCCCAACAAATAAAGATGAGAGATAGATGATTGGGGGGGGGGACAGCTTCTTTGAGATCCCAAATACTCGCAATTACATTTTCCAAGGGTCAACCATCTATTCAAATATTAACAACTATTTTTGACCCTGCCACCCATAGATTTATTCATATACAGCGAAACTTCGATAGAATGCCCCTCACTCCATTTGCCCCTTTTTCTTATTTTCTTAATAATTCCGTTATACATTTCCCAAAATCTATTGCCAAACCCCTTTGTAACGCCAAAACTTCTCAGGACAAATGGTGGCATGATAATGAAGTGTTATTGTATACACCTATGAATATGCCATCTCTTTTTCATATCTAGATTAACCTTATAAATCTGATCTTTGTGTTTTAGGTGATAATGCAGCAGAACTTTATGGATCAGTATTCTGATGGTTTAGACATCTATTATTTGTATACATACATTTTATTCTATATAGGAATACTTTTTAAACAACAGCTCTCTTTCCATTCAACAAGAAACAAATTTCTGAGACAATATAAGGACTCTAAGGGTGTTCTAATAAATGTATTCTTATGATCTATGTTTCACATGTACATATTTTTATGTCATTTTAGTTTGTAAACAACACAACCACACCCATGTCAGCAATGTCTAGCACTTACATTGATCACAAAAGGCATATCCTCCACAATACTGTCCTTTCTTTGGTTTCTGAACTGATCATAGTATGCATTTATAGAGGCTGAAAAAAATAGCATTTCATTTGATATTTAGTTGATGTGCATTTCTAGCATTTCACTAATTAATCACTCTATTGTGTTTTACAATACATAAATATATAATTCATACAACCATTTTAGAATACAAAGATAAACAATTCATAAGCCAGTTAAATCAAAGATAAACGATTCATAAGCCAGTTAAATCAATCAATGGCACCTGGCTAATACCTCCACATGTGTGGCTTGGTATGTGCGGGAGGCATATTGTTGTTTTGTTGCAGAAGGACTGTGATTCCAACAGTATTCTTTTGACCGAAGCTATGTAACAGCAGAAACACTGCGGCGACCACCCCAGACCATGTTTTACTCCATTCGGGTTATTGAGGAATTTATGTTCTTCAGTATGTATTCAAAATCAATATGTCAACAAAATTTCAAGCGTAATTGATCCTCAAACTTTGCAGCACGTTTCTTTTCAGACAAATATTACAGTAGAGAAATGTTAAAAAAATATCGTATTTAAGACCATACTGGTTCTTAAGCACAATGAACAACAAAGGGAGGTAATAAAAAGTATCCACTTTGGACTAGGATGTGCTTGTCACTGTAGTCAAGAGCCTTACATTTGAGGTCACTTGTACTGCTTGCCCGGCCCATACTTGCTGTGGAGCTGGAGTTTTTGAGGATGGAGCGAAGAGGGAGTTGGAGAGTGTGATAGGTTTGTGCCTCCTTGGCTTCATCCGACATTTCTGTCAAACTGCTTGACTGAAAGAGAATGGGGTCAGAGGTCATTATAGTTATGCATTGTAATTACTTCCTTGATGATTTTAGTATTTTTTTCCAATTCTCCTACATATATTAGTCATTGGAAGGTCAACGCATGAGTGATTGACAATTCAACAAAACACATGATTTTACATATAATTTTACAGGGATTAATGCAGGAATAGAAAGTTAGTACCTTTTTTTTAAATAGGGGAAAATATGTGCTATAGGCGTATGACCCACTGGCTAACTAATTTTTGTTTCTTGCTGTTCATTATAGGTGTTTTGAAGCGACCACTGGATATCAATTAGAATATAGTATTTGAGTGACTGTTGTATACTATAAACAGGGCCAGCCGTAAACAGTGTCGTAAAATATCGGCAATGACAATATAAACAAACGTAAAATATAATAAATCAAGAATTAATGACTGGGTGCAATCTATTTTTCACTAACCCTTTCACCACTGAAGACCATAATGGACTACTCCAGATCAATGCATGGTAGAGTCAACTAAAGTTACATAGGGGTGCAAGGGTTAACTAGAAAATGTATGCTCCTTCGGCCTATCAATTGACAGAGGCATGAAAATACTTACAGATTTTGAAAATCTCATTCTGAAAGGGTTTGGCAATTTGCTTGCTCCCCCTCCCCCAGATCCTCCTTGTGGTTCATCCACCTTTTGAACCTGAAACCTTGACGATCGTGAAGGGGAGGAATCAGTGATGGTAAGGGCAGGAATCGGAGCGGGCGACGGGGCTCTGGAGTTTTGGGCTGTCGATAATTCTGAGTTTGGGGTTCGTGTCTCTGATGTATCATCGTCAAAGTTGCTAATGAGGATCTTCTGGTCGTAACTCAAGTGTAACATCAGGATTCGCTCCAACTCAAAACGCTGTATCGACCCCAGCAGTATCATAGAATCTGAAATGATATACAATCACGTCAAAGCATGTTATACAAATAAACACGCTATTTATCCAGTATTAAGCCCATGCCTGATAATAAGCACAATTATATAATTATATTGTTGTTTAGTAAAAATGTCAACAGATGCTATTTCATTGTCCAGTTATAAGACCACCTCCCAACTTTTTGAGATTGTGTCTGCTCCGTGGGCTTATTTGAGGATAAGACATAGTACTTCATAGCATCATAAATATATTAGTTATCTCAACTCATTCACAGATACAATTTTATAAGGTTTACTGAGACTTCCTGATTGTAGAGAATCCATTTGTTATTTCCAGTACATGTCTAGTCAGAACCAAACCCAATCGCTGGTGTTTCAATTTGATGTCACCAAGATCAGCACTGAACTATGAATGAGTACACCTGTCCAAGTACTCAACCCTTAAAGATCCCTGTCAGACTGCATTGTGGTATTTCCTATATACAGTAACCTCCCCTTAACTTCTGTTTGAATATAACTGTAGCACACTATCGCCAGGCCACTTAGTGACCAGGTAGCTCAATCCGTTAAATCGATAGTATAACAATCTAAAGTCAAGGGTTCGAATCCCAGTCTGGTAACAGTGAATTTTTACACTGAGAACACTGTAGTTGATTTATATTTTGCTTCTTTCACATTTATTTTTTCTCATAAAAGTCCCGCAAGGTATGGTTCTCTTTTCAGAAATAATTTGTCAAAGCTATAGTCATGCTGGAAAAACAATATCCAATACTTTGATGCAATTTTTGGCAGTGGTACGGGGATCCTTAAGATACATAAATTCATGGATGTATGAGTTAACTCCCTTTGCTACCAGGGACCCAGGCCACCTATGTTAACCTTAACAGTATTCTATCTTTTCGTATTGCAGAGTTATCTGCTCTTGTGAGCAGGTATTGATTGTCACGTCATTTGTTTGTGAGAGTAACGTCATCAATTTTTGAGAAAATTAAGTACACAAACCAATGACGCAACAATCAATACCTGCTCACAAGAGAAAATAACTCTGCATTACACAAAGACGGAATGAGTACTGGCCGATACTAGGTTTGTTAAACAGAAACCTCTGAAAAGTTGCTACAACAAAACTAGTTGTGAATTATTGGTATTTGTTATTTAATTTATAAACTTGCCATCCATGCACTGCATTTGAAGGTGAACTGTTAAGATCTCTGAAATATTTTCAGTATCGTTACAGCTCTTACATCTGATTGTCATAACACCAATGTGACCATGATGAGCATTTACCTGGCGAGTCCACTAGTGGGTAACTTTTGTGAATGGACTGCGTGATGAGGTCCTTCAAATGACCGTAACTGGACACAAAGGATACAAATTGGACGTTCTGGACCATTATGTCCTCAACATACACATTCCACATACTGTAAAACACAGAAAATCAGAAGTTAGCCACAGTTAGTGACGTGAGTGCTCAACATGGTGTGCAAGGATAAGCTGGTGATTGACAATTATAGGTTGTACACATTTAAAAGATACTGATCGGGTAAATATTTATTTTCATATTAATAAATCAATAAATCAATTAATAAAGCAATTCATAGAAAAAGTAAATGAAATAAAAATATTTTAAAATATAAACTTTAGTTGTTTTACAATAATAATGAAACAAGTTTTTACAAATAATATTAATCACTCTTGTTGGCCAGGATATTAGTGTGCAAGAGTCTTAATGTGGGAGGAAACCGGAGTACCTGGAGAAAACCCACGTGGTCGGCCAGGTGACCCCATACCTTTTCATGTACGATCGGGGAATGAAACACCTGCCGTCTTGGTGAAAGGCAAGTGCACTATCCACTGCGCTACCGACAACCCATGAAGAAATGAAATAGGGATGGGCTTATTCGTGAATATAAGAAAACTGCCAGTAATAAAGATTACAGGTAATGTAAACTACTGTGTTTTATATTGACAGTATACCAGTACCTTGACTTAGAAGACACAATGTCTGGTAGGTACGGAAGGCGCTTCAGTTTGATGATACTATCGTAGAATGACGGCTGCAGCTGATTGGCTATTGCATTAGCTATCAGTACAGCTACCTGTAATGAAAGGCATACATTCAGGTTACTTTTGCGTTGAGTAAGTTATCGTGAAAATATCCAAATGTGAATGTTTATGTAAAGATTTTATACAGAATAGGTTTATATAGATTTAAGAACTGTTGCCATCACTAAAATTTCCACACCATGATTAATGCAGAGTCACACGCAAATATTCCTACATACAAGAATTTCCATTTTTAAAGTACAACTACCTGCAAACATGAACATTCAGGTAAAATTTGCCTATCACCAAAAAATATGTTTGCTGACAAAATCAAATTAACTGTAAGACATAATAAATAAAAGTATATAAGAGTTTCTAAAAGTTCAAATTGAGGAATAAAAATACTTACCACAGCAGGTAGTACATGGCTTATCTGACCCGTCAGCTCAAACACAATCACAGATGTTGATATGGTCCTTGTAACACTACCAGATAAAGATGCTGCACCTGTATGATGAAACAATATAAGATTTTAACAACATGTCAAGTTAATACTTTAATCTTGAATACTTACAAAATCCTTAACAGTCAAATAATGTATATACAGGATGATGGTCTGATGAAAGTTGTCAATCAGGATGACTGTCTTTTTGAAGAAAAAAATCCAAAAAAAAATCCAGGTTTTTCTCAAATTTATAGCCTTTTTTTTATTTAAAAATTCCTCTAAAAAAACACAAAAATAAAACTGCTGCAAACACTACCAGATACACAGTACTTGTGAGGAAAGGGAAATTACATCTTCAGGGTTTCCAAATCAATGCCAATGCAAATTCTAGAAATTCCATGACTGAAATGTTTCTATCCAAGACAAATACATTAAGTATATTTATAAGATTAGAACAAATGTGGATTAAATTACATTTATCATTTTCCAAGATGATTTGAAGGATTTCATTTTTTTTAAAAGAGTTTGTTATTGATATCCATGACCTTTTGAAGGAATCTGGGGTTTTTTGGTGTGTGTTAACGACCTACCAACAATGGCATATCCACCAGGTACAATTCTGTGGTTGACAGTTTTGCTTAGAACTTCAGCAGGTAACCATGACAACAAGCCTCTTTCTGTGTGTGTGACAATGTGTCCCGCCAGGTAAGTGTGTGTTTGTCAGGTGAGTGTGTGTGTATTTCAATCCAGTGAGTGTGTGTATGCCGATCAGATGTGTGCGTGTCCGTCAGATGGTTGTTTGTGTGTAGGTAGTGGTGTAAATTAATTTTGTGAAGAAGTTAGCATTTCAGAATAACACATATTTTGGTACAAGGCTAAAGACTAGTAACTTGTGTACTACACTGTAAATACTAGAACTGTATCCAGAGGCTAAATAAATAACCCTACATGAATCAAATACTCTAAAAGCTAGTGTCCATGATGCCCTGATTGTCCTTCTTTCAAATCAATATTTGAACTGGGTATTCAGAGTGTAATGATATGCTGCTAATTATCTTCATGAAATAAATGATACTAACTTAACGTGAAGACGTTTTTGCATAAATGAATACCCTAATTACATAAAGGACAACACTTCTATACACATGGTTACAGTCACACATACAAGTTATATGTTATGTAAAACATATTCAAACTGCATTGAAATCCATCCTGTTTACCACTCTAATTATAATTGCTGTCTAAGTAGATTTCTCCCCTTTCTCAGGCAATTGCACTTGCGAGGTAAAATTTACCTATGGCACAAACATTTACCACAAGAGTGTACCCACAAAGGGAAGTAAAATTTACCTATGGCACTAACATTTACCACAAGAGTTTAATCACAAAGGGAAGTAAAATTTACCTATGGCAATAACATTTACCACAAGAGTTTACCCACAAAGGGAAGTAAAATTTACCTAGGGCACTAACATTTACCACAAGAGTTTACCCACAAAGGGAAGTAAAATTTACCTATGGCACTAACATTTACCACAAGAGTTTACCCACAAAGGGAAGTAAAATTTACCTATGGCACTAACATTTACCACAAGAGTTTACCCACAAAGGGAAGTAAAATTTACCTATGGCACTAACATTTACCACAAGAGTTTACCCACAAAGGAAAACGTTACACTTACCAACGACAGCATATCCGCCAGGGACAATTTTTCGGATCACATTTCCTGATGGAATACCTTCTGGAAACCAGGCTGCCATACCCTCCCCAACAAGGCGCCCAAAAGCTGCTCCCACAGTGAAAACAGGCACAAACACTCCAGCAGGTATAGGTAGGGTATTACAAATTGCCCCAAACCAAAACTGCAAATGAAAATATGATTTTTTTTAAACTTTAAACAAAATTCAAATTTTGACTGAAAAAATTACAAAAATGTGTTTTTTTCCAGTTATTTTAACAGCTGAAAATGCTTAAAATGAAACATAACGACAAAGACTTCCTTGAAGGTTCTTTCAATTTTAAATGAAGGGCTAAATTTGTATGTGAGAAAAAGATTGAAAAAATATTTTTTCAGTTTTTTTTATGTATAGATGATTCGCTGATATTATGTCCTATATGATGTGAAAGTAATTTTTTTACCATGTAATATATTTAAGAATTCCTGTCCCTATACAGGTAAAACACTAGAGAATAACACTGTAGTTTTTCATACTAGTTGTTTTTTTAAATTTAAAACACTGTTGATGATTTCTGTTTTTGTTTAAAGCTTTTTTTTTTCAATTATTTTTCTCCATTAAAGTTCTGCAAGGTATGGTTTTCTTCTCAGTTATGAATTATTAAAGCTGTAGTCACGCATGAAAAAAGTATCCCATGAAATGGGTAAGTTTTAGCACTGGTATTGGGATCCTTAATCACAAAAACCTGGTTTTACGATAACCCTTTCACCCCTATGTAACTTTAGTAGACAATACCGTGCATAGATGTTGACAAGTCCATTATGGTCTACAGTGGCGAAAGGGTTAAGTTTAAGTGCGAGTTTGATTTTTACATTATAAGTCACACTCTGTTTCTGATATCTCTGTACTCACATTCATTACGATAAAGATTACAAGGTTGACATAGATGTTAGTGTCGGGGTGTTTCCAGTGACTAATGATCTCCTCCTCGGCCAGGTTGTCTGCCTGCCCCGTCGTCCACGTAATGTTACTAAATAATTCGTTGATAGCTTGTCGACTAGTTAACTGCAAAATAAAATGACCTTCTTACTTTTCAATTACTATTACATCGGAAATTATTTATGCAAATTTCCCTTCAAGAGTTTCTTAGACAATGAAATATTCTCTATATTGACTAAAACTTTGCAAAGTTTAGCACTTATGTTTATTTGTAATACACCAGTGATAAAAATTGAATATAGAAAAAATTTCAAATCATATAATACAAAAAATTTCAAGTCTTCAATAAAAAAAATAACAGAAAACTGAAATAGGAAGTTTAATGAAAAGTAGCAATAAGTTTATATGATTTGACTTCAGTTTTTGTTAAATAAGAGTAAATGATAAATAAGTTTACTACATTTTTATCACTTTTTATAATTCAACAAACTGTCTATATTAAAGTTTATTTTAAGTTGACTTACATTTCCTGCAAAAAACTGGCCAAGGCCTGGAGGGAATGTGAGAGATGCAATCACTAGGGCAACGAGTCCAGGATATATAAAACGACTGCAAGAAATAAGTGTTATAAGGTTAACATATCTTTGTTATAAGGTCAGAAGAACACTCATCTGTTGTTAAATATACATACTTTCACTTTTAAAATTTTCACAATGAATAAATGTAATAAGATACTGTATACCAGGGAATCTTCGCCCAGTCATTCTTTCGGCCTTTGCTGGTAAATTCGTTTTAACCGAGTATTAATTTTGCCCTTCACATTTAATCATTATGTATGCTATGGTGTTTAATCATGCTCGCTGTAATGATTAATTTGCCATCATTACAGAGGGCAGAAAAGGTGACAATTTAACTAAATTAAATTAAAATTTCACAGTATTCAGTATGGTTGCAAAAAAAGGATAATACTTTCCTTTTATATTTAATAAATATTAGTGGTATTCATTAATACTGATAATATTTAAAGAAATCACATTTTATTTTAGATATTGTGTCTCTCCTTTAGATTGTCTGATTACTTCAAGACTGACTTTGATTCCTTTTAATAAAGGGATTTTTTATTTTAAAAATCTCTACACGGATCAGAGATTCACACTTAAGTTGGAAAACACATGAAACGTGCAGTGTAAAGATGGGGTCAGTTAAGCTAAATGACCTACATAACACATTTTAACATAACATAAACAAACACTTACTTTTTCTGTAAAAATATTGTCATTCTCTTCTGTTTTCTCGTAAATAAAATTATTTTTCTATGAAGTAATATGAATAAGGCCCCACCAAACCCGCATACAACTCTGAAATAAATAAAAATACAAATTCTCTGAAACAAATACTTAATTAAGTACCATTTTAAGGGCTAATCTCATTTCTTTGACTTTTTTTGTTGCAGAGTTTTAAATAAATATTTCATATTGTGACACTTCTTCCTTGTCTGAACTGTTTAGATCATCAAAATGTTCACTGCAATAGAACTGATGTTAAAATCAAAAGAGTTTATGTGAAATAGACATTACAACATCTTTCGACTTGTTTGTAAAACTCACCAAAAATTAGGAGCAATAAGCCCATGCTCGAAATTTAGCCAATCCCTTGTTAAACAGATTTCATAATTGATAGTTTTTGAAGGTAATTTGATTTTAAAGAACTTGTTAAATTAACTATCCCTGCTTTTGCTCTGACTAATTTAGGCTCTTCAGAGATTAAGCTCTCTTTATGTTCTGCCATGTCTTAGTCCAAAATCTAAAACACCCCCGCAAACTAACTTCCTTGGCAGTTTCCATAATTTTTGGAAGTGACTCTGTCAATCTTGTGAGAGATACGTACATATGAAATAATGTAAATAATATACAACATTTGATATAGCTCCCTATCTAGCTTTAGGGGAATCTCAACCCTTGGGGAAAGATTCTTAAGTTGCCAATCCCTCGGCAAATCCTTGTGTTTGCTAACTTAAGAATCTTCCCCCACGGGTTGAGATTCCGCTGGGGGGTGAGAGATTCAATTAATCAATCTTCATTTACATAAAGTAACTACTGTACTTATCCGGCAATAAGCCCGTGCCTGGTAATAAGCCCAACAATATCCATATCTATTGCAGTTCCATAGAAATGCTTACATTGTCAGAGGCTATGTGTTGGCCCCCAGGCTTATTGCAGGATAAATATGTTACACTCCCTAAAAAAGCTCATGAACATGTACACATGAATAATTACTTACCCTATAAATGCATACGCTAATAATTCTAAGGCATCAAACGGGAAATCTGTTCTCAGTGACGTCCTAAATAATGCTGTGATGGTGTCTGAAACAAAACATAATCAATTCAAAATTTAGAATTCAGTACATGTACCTATATATATCAGACAGGAAAGATAAGGTCGTGTTACCTGTAACATCTACAGAATTCATACACATATGTGCAGCACAAGCATTTGATTAAGATATTTATATTTGTGTGCAGTATGTGTTTTGATTGCTATTTTAATCTATTATATAGAGCTTTCCCAAAGAGAACTATACTCCTAATGTGTTTTCTGGTAAGGTTTTGTGATTGACCAATTTTCACACTATAACAGAACTATTCTTCCAGGAAAAAGGACGTAACAGAATTGGCACATCACATAAATGAATATACCGAAAGGAAAACAAATAATACGAATATTTGTTCGTATTATACTGTACTATTTTTGCTTACCACCCCCTGACACATATTTTTCTTTTCAATATGATATCTACCTGAGAATATATTGGCAATGACCACCCACTGAGTTCCTGTGAACATTTAAGTATCCCTGTCCCACTACAATGGTTTTTCCTATATACGGTAACCTCCCCTTATCTTCCTCAAGTATCCCTGTCCCACTGCACTGTTGTTTTCCCTATATACAGTAACCTCCACTTAGCTTCCTTAAGTATCCCTGTCCCACTGCACTGTGGTTTTCCCTATATACGGTAACCTCCCCTTATCTTCCATCCCTGTCCCACTACAATGGTTTTTCCTATATACGGTAACCTCCACTTAGCTTCCTTAAGTATCCCTGTCCCACTGCACTGTGGTTTTCCCTATATACGGTAACCTCCCCTTAGATTCCTTAAGTATCCCTGTCCCACTGCACTGTTGTTTTCCCTATATACAGTAACCTCCACTTAGCTTCCTTAAGTATCCCTGTCTCACTGCACTGTGGTTTTCCCTATATACGGTAACCTCCCCTTATCTTCTATCCCTGTCCCACTACACTGGTTTTTCCTATATACAGTAACCTCCCCTTAATCTCCATATGAATATTACTGTAAAACAGTTGGGCCAGGACACTTTCGTTGACCAGCTAGCTCAAACTGTTAGCGAGATAGTATAACAAACTGAGGTCCAGGGTTCAAATCTGGTTAAGCCCAATTACACTGTAGAACACTGCTATTTGATTTGATTTGATTTATTTCATCTTTATGGTTTCTCAAAAAAGGTCCTGCAAGGTATGGTTTTCTTTTCAGAAATGATCGAAGCTGTAGACATGCCAGACAGAACCGTTTCTAACACCTAGTGGCAGCTTTTGGCAGTGGGACGGGATCGATCCTTAACAGTGATATATGTCAATCAAGGAAAGCAGGGAACTAATTTGAATATCAAATATAACAATTTGGGGTTCTTATATACCGCTTTAACACAGCCTAGGTCGTCTCAAAGCGGTTCACAAATTATTATCTGTGGTTATAGGGCCTTTGCAACCAGCCAGTATCTTTCTCAACTCCCGGGGGAGAATACAGCCGGTGCTGCCATTTCGGCGTTCACAGCTAGCATTCAACAATTCTAGCACTGCCCAACCACATACTCATTTACAGCTGAGTAGACTGGAACAAGCGGAATTAAGGATCTTGATCAAAGATACAACACAGTGCCATGACGGGACATGAATAAAACAAGAGCATTTATCCTACCATTTTCTGAGAAATTATTCTGTGATGTAGTAAATGAATATGCAAGTACACTAATTTTGATCGAATAATTTATAATTTTTCATAGCTTTTTTTTTATAAACTTAGTATTGTACATTTACAACTATTATCAGGCTACGATTGACAGATCAAAGTCATATGAGTTTGTATTTGTTTTCGGCCCACGGAATACTTGATGCGTAAATACATTTCAAAATCACTTAGATGCATGACATGCGTATATGCAGATAATTAAGGAAGGCTGAAATAACAATGCCAGCTATGAAAATGCACAAATAGCCTTATCAGCTAGAATTAATCGCCATAAGAAAATCGATCATAACGGCTTTTCAAAAGAATTCATTATGTTACATAATATTAAATATGGCAGATTTGGTGAACACATTCAAGGTCGCCGTGATTGTTCCAAACGAGACATTGAAGTTATATTCATTGTCCAATTCGTATGTGTACTTCATGCTAAAGATACTTTGTAGCACATGTATTACAATCTGAAGATGTCACATATTTCACACTCTATACTAAGTCATTACAAGTCGTATCATATTAAAGCATTATTTCTAGACACAATTCAATAGTGTGCAGCAATACTAGACATTAATATGCTAGTATATATATTGGGTGGCCGGTTGGGCAGTAGATGGCACTCACCTCATGAAGACTCCTAGTGCGCTTACATTCAGGCCAACAAGAATGATAGTTATAAGTGGAAATAATTTGTTTTGATAATAGTTGCAAAATAAGTTAAGTTTATATTTATATATACATTACCAGGTAATATGCTGTATTTATTCTGCAATAAGNGGGGGGAGGGGGGATGGAAGCAATGCATTTCTATTAAATTGCATTTGACATGGGTGGGCTTATCACCAGGCATTGGCTTATTGCTGCATAAATACAGTAATATCGACATATGGACTAAACAATAAGGATTTTAATGGTGATACTTGTTTTATATATACATGTACCATGGTATACTGAAGTTTGTTTCCTCAAGAAGATAAAAGAAAAAAAAAGAAAAATGATTACACGTTTCGATATATGTTTCCACTCACCATTATTCATAAAATAAGCATCTGAAATTATTTTAATACAGATGGATTTTTTAATTTAGAGAGTCAGATCACTTCTCTTTGGACTAAGACCAATACTTTTAAATAGACATTTACCAGTATAATATTACTGACATTTACCAGTATAATATTAATGATATTTACCAGTATAATATTACTGATATTTACCAGTATAATATTACTGACATTTACCAGTATAATATTACTGATATTTACCAGTATAATATAACTGATATCACCAGTATAATATTACTGATATTTACCAGTATAATATTACTGATATTAACCAGTATAATATTACTGATATTCACCAGTATAATATTACTGATATTAGGAGTCTCATTTTGTTTTTTTGACTTGTAATACTGTCATCTCGCCCGCTTTTGTTTATTGCGATCAAAAACGTTGCACAGATTGGACCAGAGTTGTTAACCTATGAAATTAGCTTGGACCTAGTAATCTAATAGTGCTTTCAGGTGAGCCATGATAATATTTGAAGGTCATCCAGGGTTTTTACATGAAAATATTACAGTTAAAAACAGACAAATTTTTCCACATAAACGGACAGGACCAAAAGTCAAGGTAACAAATCAAAATGTCCATGGCTGGTTTTGCAAATATCAAAACTATTGTCTCAACCTGGAGTACTGTTGCTCAAGACCGCTATCCTGTTGCTATGACGATGCTATCTTCATGGATTTATCTTAACAAAAAGCCCCCCCCCCCCCCCCTTTATCATTAGAGAGTAGACCTTCGTGCATGTGAAGTGTCAAGCTTAGTGAACAAGTTGTGTCAGTGAACATAGTTTTCATCCTTTTCGACGTCTAGGCCTTCTACACTGGTGAAATGTTATAAAGTGTAAGTTGACTATATTAAGGCTGTCTGTCCCACTGACTACAAAGTACTAGAGAGTTCCACTTTAGTTTTTTACACTGTGGTGTGACTGGGCAAGGGTACTTTCAGTGATTTTTCAACCTCAATTTTACAACAGCCTGTTTCTACATCAGTTGGAAAAACCACTTTCATTCTCATTGAAATTGGGAAATTGTTTCTGATATTTTCTCCATTTTTGGAAGATAAAGCACTTTTTAGCCAGGAAAGCATCCTGTATTCGGCTGTAAAACGAGGAAACGTACAGAAACAATCACAGACTTCCATTGACCAGGCAGCTCAGTTAGTTTTTAGAGTGATAATATTAGGTCAGAGGTCCAGGAACCAAATCCTAGTCTGGCCACGAAGCATTTTTCACTTGGAACACTCATTAAGTTTTACTGTCCATTTCATCTTTCTTTTTGATCTGGAAGATTTTTGTTCAGGAATGACATGTTAAAGATAAAGTCAAACAGGGATTCAGAATGGACAATTTCAATAAAAACTAAAAATTAATTGTAGTAGACAAAAAAATAGACGTCACTTTATCAGGTTTTATGCATTATTGCTTTGCATTTATTTCATCTTTTAATTTTTACACCAATATCTCAAATTATTACATTTATTAATAATAAGCCTATGTCTGGTATTAAGCCTGGGTTATGTTAAACACAGTTCTGTAGAATTCTCTGTCCAGCAATAAACCAATCCCTACTTTGAGGCAGAGTGTATATGCTGCTCCCCTGGGCTTATTACAGCATAAATACCGTAGTTTAACCTGGATTCTTCTATATACTAAGACCTCCATATATTTTCACCCTTTGTTCATAGAAATTTTAAGGGGTTTGCCAATATATCTAAGGGAGATTAATAAAAGAACATTTAAAACAAAAGGGAAGGGAGACATTGTAATGGGTTGGTGGTAAGCAAGGTGTCAAGTGAAACAAGAGGAATTAATCATTGATGTAAGTGTTGTCTGTTTTGCAGTCCATAGTTTTCGTGGATTTGCTAAAGTGGTCAATATTGCGGATCTCAGGTCTAGAAGTCAAATCTGAAGGTGCCCAGTTAGAGCTGGAAATATTTGATATTAAGTTGAAATTTCATGGATTCTCATTATTGTTGAAACATGTTATCTCGAAAAAGGTGAAAATCTTTTACAATATAACATGTTTTTACTGTATACTGAGGATACAAAGAGGATTAAGTAAGTTACTCTATACTGTGTCCCATATAAAAACAGATATAAATAACTTACCTTCATTTTTAAACCATAAAGCTAACAGTCTAAATACTAGGGCACCACAAACTGCAGCAAAGAACCCTCTCCAGTAGTTCCTCACCGCGAAGTAGGTCGCTGTTACCTCTATACTGAACAAAACACCTGAAAGTAAAATATTTAATAATCCAAATTACCTAAACTCGTTCTTTATGAAAACAGGCAGATGGTCTCTTAAATAAAACATAGTGAGCTTCGACTCTATCAAACTTTGACCCTTGCCATAAGGAATTTCCACATTTTAGTCAATTATTGAACCAAAATTCTTATGTTTTAATGATAACTATGATTTTGATCTTTGATCATTGGACTGGAAAAGTAATCTCAAGCAATTTTTTCTTTTTTTTCCAATTTGGATGACTGAGACAATTTCGTATGGAAAACTGACTTATTTATTTATAGTAAAAAGTGAATCTGACCTATGACCTTTTTAACCTGGCCAAAATTAATCCAAAGCAAACATTTTGTACCAATTGACAAACTTAAAATATCTCCTCAAGTCTTTCATACAGAAGACCAGAAAGTTATTTTCAGGGGATAATTATGGTGCCTAATAAAGTATACTTCAGCAATGATTTTTTTTTACAAGTCTTGACTCCCTACCACCAATAGGTGCAGCGAATGTCCCAGCCACTCCCACTGCACAAGCTGCGGCCAGCATTTCTGAGCGCCGAGACTCATTCTGAAATAAAACAATTTGATGATTTTGTATGGTAAAACTTGAATACTCAAAGCAGCATTATTTCTCCTGGTATATTTAATACACATTATATACAATATACAAGGTTCAATTTACATAGAAATAAATACATTGAAATCTAAGTCGCTTTTCATTTAGCCATTAATTTGTATGGCAAAACCTGATCAAAGCAACATTATTCCTCCTGGTATATTTAATACACATTGACAATATACAAGGTTTAATTAACATAGAAATAAATACATTGAACTCTAAGTCGCTTTTCATTTAGCGTTTCTTTGCTGGCAACATTTACAGGAAGCAGTGACAATAGGTACAGGAAGCAGTGACAATAGGTACATGAAGTAGTTACAATAGGTACAGGAAGCAGTGACAATAGGTACAGGAAGCAGTGACAATAGATACAGGAAGTAGTGACAATAGGTACAGGAAGCAGTGACAATAGATTAAAGTGTTTTGTCATAATCTGCTGGTGATGTTGTCCACAATGCACGAAAAAAAGCTGAACAGTCGTTTACGTCATCACTGGCAATATAAGCATATCCGCGCAAAAAAAAGAAGGCCAAAAACATGTAACAAACAAATGTTCATCTAATTGTATTTTAACTTAAACATACCTCATATATCCCTCGGAAGGAAGTCAGCTTCCCCAGTAGCGTGGCCACTATACTAGCTATATGTACAAACGGTCCCTGGAAGAAACAGAAACACAATACAGTTTATAAAGTTTGTTCTTGCTGTAGACAGAACACAGGTTATACTCAGGAAAAAGTTTGACAGCATCACATCAGTACTCAATAAACACATGTGTTCAGTGTCCCTGATGATTGGGGATTTGTTAATATGGTTACTGTATACATGGAAATTTTCACCCATTTAAATTTTCACCCTTGGACGGTAAAGTTCATTTTTGCTCAATATTAAATTCGCTCTTCAGATCTAATTACTATGTATATCTGCAAAACCATTCCTAGTATACAGTATTACGCAGGATCTCATGCCAATTAGTGTCTACGTCAAATATTGTTACAGTAGGGATGGCTGTATTTGTTATTAACCCTTTCACCCCTATGTAACTTTAGTAAACTCTTCCATGCATTAATCTGGAGTCCATTATGGTCTATAGTGGTAAATGGGTTAATTTATGTGGGGGGGGGGGGGCACAGAAAACCTGTTACGGCCAAAAATCATAAAAGTTTTAACCTGGCAAAAGTTATACCGGTATTAATGAAATTATCATAAGGAATAAAATGCCAAAATATCATGAGATCTTTAATATGAATCTAATTCATCAGATTGGAAGAAATAACAAGAAACTATAAGTGTAGTGGGTGTTTTGTATGGTTACCTCTTTCCCTATAGGAAGTGTGCTGCCAAGAGAAGAACAGAGTCCAACGATCTTGGACAGCAATGTTTTAAATGTTAAGAACTCCTTCAATACCACACCTCTAAGTATTGTCTTCATCTCCGGAATACCAGACCCTGGAAAATAGATAAGATTCTGTCATTCTATACGCTGAATCAGATTGGCTGCTTTCTAAAAGTCGAAAAACAGTTTCAACACTTCCTTGAATACCAAAGCAACACCCATAACAAATTAATCACATTAGGGGAATGTGTCAAAAACAATCCGAAAACTGAAATTTAATGTTTTTTAAAAATATTTTATTTAAATATTATATATATTGTCTTGACCTTTTGTGATTGTGATGGCATACTATTATGACATCATAGATTCAACGAGTCATTGTGACGTCATATAGTTTGTACATCATTTCCTCTACCTCCGAAGAATCAAAATGGATGTTACTTTCGCCCTTGAAGAAGGCCAGAAGGCCGAATTATTGGGACTTGGAGGGTGATATTTGTTCTATTCATTATCTAATAGTTTTTCATCTTGCTTTATCAGGTATACCTTAGCTTCAGAATCATCTTAAAGCTTTTGAAACAAGAGAGAGACAATTGTCTAAGACTTACTAGAGAAAACCCATATGGTCTGTGGTTGGGCAGAAGCTACCCACAGTCTGTCCCTGCTAAGACTTACCGACAGCCTGTGGAGCCACCAGGTGTGTGAAGCCTGTGGCAAATAGGATAAATATGATGGAGTAAAACGTCCAGGCTAGGTACTGTAGACCCACAGAAAAGGCCACCTCCTCGTACAACCACAACTTGGCTGGAATAGAAAAGGTTACATTTTAGTTCTATACACTAAATAAACATGTTTTATGATAAAAGTCAGGGTCAAGGTCACAGTACAAAGGTAACATTGTATTTGTAGTTCCATATACTGAATTAACATGTCCGACAGTAAAGATCAAGGTGAAAGTGCAAAGGTTATCTGTAATTCATACATAAATTAACTAATATGATGGTCAATGTCACAATTAGGGTCAAAATACAAGGTTTTCTTGTAATTACATCATAAATTTATTTATTGAATGGTCAAGGTCACAGTCAAGGGCAAAGTAGAAAAGAGAATTGCTATTACAAAGTGAATTATTTTGTTCATGATCAAAGTCATATATGGTCAAGGTCAAAGTACAAAGGTTACTTGTTTGCAAGGTTGTATAACAAAAATAATTTGTGATTACATATTAAATATAATGCTGATAACAATTTCTTCTTAACATGGTCACCCTTTTCCTATGAGAATATATCAGGATATTTGTCACAACACATTTCTTCTGTATTGCAATATATCTGATATGCATTAGGCGAGCCGCATACTGCGACACCCTTCAACTGACCGCTTGGCCAATACATTCCTACCTTCTTGACATTTCTCTATTATGTAATCCATGGTAAAACTTAGTAGGGCCATGAGGACCCCCAGCAGAGCCAGGAATATCCAATCCTCGCCGATCGCCCGGAACACAATGTCTCGCAAATGTGTACATCTTTCTGAAATACACATGTTGTCAATCTATTATAGAACTGATGTGCAAACACACCTCCCACATATTAACTATCTGCTGAGTTCTTTATTGCAAAGGAAAATATTGAAAAATACATGAAAAGAAATACAGTCAAGCCCATGAAAATTAACATGAGCACCAATTTCTTTCTTTTATTATTTCCTGTTCACCGCTGAAATAAATAAGTGTAAAAACTGTAAAAGAGGACATGCTTGTGTAAATTAGCACAAAAATATCTACATATGAATATTTATTTATAGATTATATACATTATTACTACACTGCTATCAGTTTACAGGGTCACAACACAAACATTTTCCTATGTGGAAATTCCCACTTATGACTTGTACAGTAGTCAGGATAGGATGTCTTCAGATATTTCTTCTCCAACAAGTATACTTATCATTTTAACAGTTTAAACATTTGGTATATATTAGTTTAAGGCAAAAGAATATAAATACAACTCTCGATACAATATAGATATAAAAAGATTTTTTTTTCAACAATGTGTTTCATTCTCTACAAATAAAGATAGTTCAATATTCAATAAAAAGATGACCCTTCAAATTACATACATTTACTTATTCCTTTTCTTTTTGTAAAAGCACCAAAGCTTAAGTAAAGCTTAAACCTCTCCTTCAATATGTAATCTGTTACCATAAGCCAGTGAAATGATAAGATAAGATAAGCAACTCAAATATTGACCAAATGAAAAAAACAACTAAACATTCCCCAAACAAAGTTTAAAATGAAAAAATAAAATAAAAGCATGTCCCTTCTTTCAAGCCGAAGCTCTATAAAATGACAGCCTTAAAGAATTGTACCTTAATTTGGTGTAAAATTTGGCATGCAGCAAGCAAATTCGATTTGCATTTGGGAGACGACAATAAATTTTTGATTGCGGACGTGAATGAAAAAAATAATGTTGGTGACGGCTGCTCTAGTTGCGTGACGAAACGTTTAAGTCCAAGCAGCTACCTTCGTACTATGTGTATGCCTGTTTGTCATTAGTAAACAATTATCCAGCCTCCGCAGCATTCGCCAGTGTTCTCGCCTTATTGTTTCTAAAATATCTAATTACCTCGAGCAAACAGTTCTATTTGCAGCAAATATTCCAAATGACACGCTGTTGACCGATACCTTATGTCTGACTGGGCGTTTGAGAACATTTACAAAATGAATATGCACCTCCAGGGTAACCAAAAATAATTCAATTTATTCAAGTTTCCTAATCTAGAATACAAATCAACCAGTTTTTACGACAGTTTGAGGACTGGTTTGATTTATTGAGTTTAATGTCCTATTAATAACAGCTAAGGTCATTTAAGGACGTGCCTCCATGTTTGTACTATACACATATGTGCTGGAGACACTAGTTTGGTATACTTGCCTCCATGCGATATCACGGATCTGACGCCAACTTTAGAGTGCTACCTCATTGAAACACCATGACAAAGGCACCAAAGCATGGTATTTCACCCTGTCGCATTATACTGACAACTACATAAATATTCTAGATGTATTTGAAACTACCTACAAGTTCTTATCAGTGTAGAAGCTAATAGTTCTTATTGATGTAGAAACTAACGCGGTGCTGTAGAACCTAATGATTCTCAATCTGTGCTCTAGATGTTATACAAAACCACCTTTCTCATCTCCTATCATGAACATATAACTTTTTATAGATAAAGATCTATTTTTTTTTAAATTGATGAATCATTAAAGGTATCCAAAAAATGAATGTCGTGTTTTTAACTTTCAAGAATAGCCACCAGCTAGTTTAAAGTTTTCATGTAAAGCTGTATTCAAATGCCACTATACAAGTAAAACAAGTAACATGATATTGAAACAGCTGCATGTGCATTGATCCACAAACCGTACATTAATTGTGTCTGTACAGGTACGGAAATAAATTTTTCTATGGCTATTTATAGCAGTTTTGATAAAAAGATTTTACATTCATGAGGAAGCATTGGACGATGTTGTAATCATCAATAGCTTTTACATAGTCATACTTGTTTAACAATTTTGGTTGTGCACAAACAAGAGGTCCAATTGGCCTGTATCACTCACCTGTCATTTATTTCAAATTTGTGACCTTCAAAGCAGGTTAAGGTTAAATTTATTTGTTGGAAGATATAACTCTACAACTTGTAGGGGGGGGGGGGGGTTCTATATGATAAGTGTTCTACAACCTGGTCAAGTGACTGGTTCTATAACCTGGTCATATGACTGGTTCTATAACCTGGTCATGTGACTGGTTTAATCCAATCATTGATGATGTTTTACTGATAAAGTGTCATTATATATTTTCTCATGCTCATGATTAATATCAACCTTAGTACCAACAATCTTTCAGTGAGTTAACACAGCAAGTGAAGAACACAATGGGCATCACACGGTGCATCAGGTCAAACACATTAAAACATTTCTAAATTTGCCACAAAGTAAACAAGAAGAAAAATGTATATATAAATTTCAGAATAACGAAATAAAGTTCTCAAAATATGTAACCTGCTTCATTAATCGTTATCAGCTTCCCTTGACTTTGTAATATTGTCTCATATTTGTGAAATTTCTGTGTATGTTATGCTTTCATGCAAATAAAACTCAAAAATTCACTTCATTTATTTGCTTGAAAATTGTTATATATTTTTTCCATAATAAATAATTTTCAGTTGAATGGTTTTCGTTTTATGATGTTTTTTGCAACGAGTCAAACTGTGGACGGACCAGGAGCTGCTATGACAAAGCCCACAAAAAACATTTCAACCAAACGTTTCTTGTGATAAACAATAGATATATCAATCTTTAACCAAAAAAAATAATTGAAAAATATCTATTTTTCACCCTGATCAGGCGGGATGATAATAACAATGGCTTCCACTTATTGTCACAATGCTTAATGTCACATTTCTGATAATATCATTACTTCCTTTTTTACTTCATATACAAGTTATGTTTTTAGGACAAATTTTAAATTTTGCATGTCAGAGATAGATGAACAGTGTGAACAAATTAATTGAAGAATTCTCAAAGCTCTTTTCCTTTTTCAAAAACGTGAAAAATCCTACAAATGGGCAAAAACATTTTGATAATACATCGTGAATGACATCATCAGTTACAAACATGGTTTCATTTTATATCCTCCATAAATAAACTGATACATCATTTCAACAATCTGTTATGCCTCATTTAACTCATTCACCCCTGTAATTTCATAATGAACTATTCCAACCTTTGAATTTGAAGAGTTAAAATGTGTCTTCTGGGGTGAATGAGTTCAGATATCTACATGCAGCTTAAGTACACAAAAATAATGCATTCTATATCTGAATGTGTATCAAAGTTTGTATCAGAACGATGCATTACTGTTAACTACATAGAACTAGCACTAAACATCAGCTATAATTATTAAAAGGATTAAACATGGAACAATACTTGAATTAATTAATTGTTAGGCTGAGATAAGAAAAGTGTGTACACAACACAGGGGAAGGGTTGTGAACACATATTTGTTAAAAGCTAATTAATTTCTATAGCGCAGAAAAAAGTTTATGAGAATAACAATTTGTCATATGTTTCCAGCAATAAGCCCATGCCTGGTAATAAGCCCACCCATATATGTTACAGTTCAACAGAAATGCCAACAAATACTACTTCATTGCCCTGTAATAAGCCGATCCCACTATTTTAAGACAAAGAATCTGTGTATTGCAGGAAAAATATGGTAATATATATTACCTCATTTATTGATATGTACACCAAATTGCTCATTTCAGGGCACTTTCCCATCAAAATTATCAAAGAACCTAAATACTTTTTCTACACATAAGAGATTTCTGTGGTAACTTTTATTAAAATTTGCATGTATATTGCTGTTACATCATTATTACCATACAGTATCTTATGGATACCAAAAATATGACAGACATATCATATACCTTACAAATTTTGCTTTAAGGCCAAACAAAATTATTTATCTGTTCAGTATTTACCCAGTACACAAAAATAGCATCAGTAGGTGAGGTGAATCCATTTATTGTCCGATTTTTATCATTTTTTTGGTATTGTGTTTCTATATATAATTTTCTAATGTTTATAATTTTTATGCCTCAATTTATTAATCAATTTACCCTATACAGACATAATTTTTGTTCGGCCTTTCGTGTATTGTATATTTACTAGCATTACATGTATCAAAATATAGCCTTTTTTTGAAGTAGCACTTCAAGTAAGTAGCTATTATAAGCTTAAGTATGTTCATTCACAAATATAGCTAATAGCATTATTTATTAATCAGTATTTAAGCTTTGTATAATCTACAGGTCCGTCCCTAAAGTAAAACCTTTCTTTTTGCATTTTGAATCATTGTTCGGTGATTTTCTGTTATTACAAGGGAGTATTCCAATGTCTGCTGGTGGTATGTTTATTGACTTTCATTGTACCACAGTTGATGGATACCTAAATCAAATTCACTAGCCAGCCATGAATGTAGCTAAAATTTAATTCTTTTAAATCTTATTTTTAAACGGGCACGTTCATTTTGCAAGGTACAAGCCCTCATGGCCTGCAACTTTTCTTCTTACATGAACAGCAAGTTGTGATAAGATATGCAACTTCAGGAAAACTTTCATATTCATTTCAAAATGCTTAGGTTACAATAATAAAAACATGTTAAATCTTTCTATTTTCTTTACATAGTTATCTTGTGTGTTACTTATGTATGTTTACAACATCATAGATCCTGGCTTCACATCTAGGCTTAAATGTTCACAAATCTTAGACAATAAACACTCAAGTTTGTTTTACCCAAACCAGTGTCTTTGAAATTTTTTAATACTTTTTCGAAAACTGGTTGATGTCATTCTAAAAACTTTTTTTAAATCTTCCAAATAGCCATAGGAAATTAAGAAACATGATTATAAAAGAATATAGCCTTGTTAATGAACAATATCATATTCAATAATTTCAGTAACAATGAATTGAATTCTACTTGCGGAGTAGCGAAGCTTTGAGCTCTGAAAATTAAGTGTGCTCTATATGAAGACTTTGTCGAAACCTCTCCATTGAATCGCACAATACCATCCCAGAGACCACTCACCAGGATGATGTTTGTTACAGGGAAAAAATCTAAATAAAGAGGATTAATACCAGATCGACAGTTTCTGGTCAGATAAATCAGCAGAAAACAACACAGTCAATATATGCAGTGCAGGGCAAAAAACACGCTATTTCTACAATACTTACGTATAATCCAGTGGCTGACTACATGCAAAATCAAATTATTCATTCTTCCGTTATAAATGTGCATATGACTATTTTAACAGACCTAAACGTACAGTAAATATAGGTAATACTATTGTGTAAGATGATTTAAGTGTCTATATTTAGAAGATCACATATATGATAGTCTTAAGTCTATACAATCATCCAATCAAAAAGCAGATAACATAATTCAACTAATCAATGATGGTCTACTATAATACCAAAAATATACAAGGGAGAAATGCATACATTAATACGAAATACTTTCAAATAATCAAATCATCGTTTGATGGAGCATGATTGGTTTGAAAACACCAATCTTATTTTAAATTTATTTAAGCTGATCTCAACTTCAAAGCAACACTGCTTCTCCATATATTGGTCTAGGGAATGGTCCTTGCATGTATTATATTACATATGTATTTTGCATGACTTTTTCTGTACACATGATATTTTTCTACCATATTTGACCTAGAAAGTGCTTTATGCATTTAGCAATTTTTGGCAATTAGAATGATAACAGAACTTTCCAAACTTGTCAAAGAATAGCCATAATAGACGCTTGATATGTAAGTTGGTAAATTATGTTAAGGAGATAGGACTCTCAGGCCAGAAAATAGGATAAGGGGAGCTCATAAGTGATGGGGTGCTTAGTAAGTTTAATACGGTATACCAGATGAAGTTGCCATGAAAACAAAGTAGAGTAGATATTTTATTACAGGTAATAAGCCTTTACCAGTAGCTCAAATGCACTGTAAAAGAGCAGCGCGACGAAAAACATCTATAAAAGTATTACACAGATTAGAGACTGGGTTTCAGCTAATTTTTAGGAATTAAAAAAAATAAAAATAAATTTCCTGCTGAAATAAATTCATTTAATATTAATATGAAGCAATACGATTATCTTATTTTGAATATCTCTAACTTCCTTTTGAGATGTTCAAAATCCTATTTCAACAGACTGCAAGGTAATCAGCAGCATGCTATGGTATCTTTGTGGTATAGAACAAAATTACCTTCAAATCCAAGGGTTCCAGAGTTTTACCTTTCCTTGACATGTACAATCAATATATACATCTACACCCATACCATTTGCCTTTTCCATAAACCAAAGGAGATGCATAAATAACATGAAAGGCAGTACATGGGCCCAAGCTATTGTAAGTCTGAATTTACCTTAAAAGTCTTTTTTTTTCACTTTTCTTGGAGAAACTAACAGAAATATGACTCCAAATAAAAACACACCCATCTAAGAACTGACGGTCAGCGATCACTAGCCTTGACCACTTCATGCATCATATATACCGTTATACCAATAATAAGCACTTAACATAGGGACAAAAATTATTTGAAAGCTTGTTCAACTTCAAAATGCACCAATAATAGTTTCCAAGATGGCAGTCAGTCATACTTCAGTTTTCAGCTGTTCAAATAATTTGGTTAAACATATCAAACTTTCTGATAAATGGGCTGTCTAATTTTCTTTTTGCTCATTTTTTTTGTGTGAAATCTACTAAATACCAGAAATAATATTTTGTTTGGAAAAAGTATTTGACAATGTAATTTCTACTTTCAACAGGTGCCTTAAGTGTAAGAATTGGCAAATATCATTTCTACCAGAACTATGAAACATGACTGACAATTACAAACATATGTATACAAGCAGGTTCTATCAGAATACTAAGTGCCCTAAGACTACATTTATTAAACAGTTAGACATGAGAAACAGAGGGAAGACATCACTTGTTTGACAGTAAATTACAATACTACATGAAAAAAACTCCAGTCTGGCAGTTTGAATAGTAATTTTTTTTTCTTAAAAGATATTGGTACAACTCTGACGGTTGAGTCATCACAGTCACAACCAAAATTGTATACAAATAACACAAAGTCCAAGTAAGATCAACATTGTATTGTTTGTTTCATTTGTTTCAACTACAAAAGCTACTATATATATATTTACTAAAAAAATGTAATCCTTGGCAATCTTAGGGGCTATTCTGCATGTTTGTTTCGATTCTAGAAAGACAGTTTCTAGATGAATGAAAGTTTCATAGTAGACATGGACACTGGGGGAAGCCCAAAATATTCTGTTTCAAAATGTACAGTGCAAAAAAACAACAACAAAAAACCACTAAAGCATTACATATTTTCTTTTACACCTATCAGTGCACACTTGCATGTTTTCTTTTCCGAGGTTTGATAACACAGAGGTTAACGTTATGTAACTGTAGCTGATAAGTCACTGATTTTCTTTGATCTGACATATGTCTTATTAAACACATGTACAACCAGCTACTACCCAGTCATTATATATACCTACCTAAGTAAAAGTATAGCCCTTTTTTAGGTTTCTCTACGTTTCCCAGGTCTGTCTTCTCCTTCTTCAGTCTTTTGGCTTGGAACTTAGCAAATGAACCAAGATCTTTAGAGTATTTTCCATAAAGCTGAAACAGACAGATTTGAAAAATTAGAGAAAAAGTATTCAAATCTTAACTGAATAAATGTGATTTTTGTTTACTGAAATAGAACAAAAATCAATTTCAGAGTGGCAGTATTGGAAGTGTGGTCTAGAAAACAAGCCGAAGAAACTAGTCCGATATCAGACTAATCTTTAATGTGAAATCCTGAATACTTTATACATCTCATCATCCAAAGAAACCTCTTATACTTGAACTTGTCATATTGAGGGACTTTTGTCATGAACAAACTCAGCATTTATTTTCTAGGAACAAAAGTATCAGTCATAAAATGCTTAATATTACAAATTAGTAAAACAATAGGGAAAAATCTGGTCCTATCAGGCTATTGCAGGGAAAGAAGTATTTAGATCTTGTCTAATAGATTAAAAGGATAGTAATCTCTAAATCTTGTCTGACTATATCAGACTATGGTAAGGATTCTCTAAATTCTCTCTGATATCAGACCAAGGTAGATAAAACGTGACTCTAAATTTGACTGATACCTCAGACTATAGAGGATGTCTCTATATCTGGTCTGATAATCAGACTAGAGAGGATGTCTCTATATCTGGTCTGATACATCAGACTAGAGAGGAAGTCTTTATATCTGGTCTGATATAAATCAGACTAGAGAGGATGCCTCTATATCTGGTCTGATAATCAGAATAGAGAGGATGTCTCTATACCTGGTCTGATATACATCAGACTAGAGAGGATGCCTCTATATCTGGTCTGAAACATCAGACTAGAGAGGAAGTCTCTATATCTGGTCTGATAATCAGAATAGAGAGGATGTCTCTATGTCTGGTCTGATACATCAGCCTAGAGAGGATGTCTCTATATCTCGTCTGATACATCAGACTAGAGATGATGTCTCTATATCTGGCCAGATACATCAGACTAGAGGGGATGTCTCTATATCTGGCCAGATACATCAGACTAGAGAGGATGCCTCTATATCTGGTCTGATAATCAGACTAGAGAGGATTTCTCTATATCTGGTCTGATAATCAGAATAGAGAGGATGTCTCTATACCTGGTCTGATATACATCAGACTAGAGAGGAAGTCTCTATATCTGGTCTGATAATCAGAATAGAGAGGATGTCTCTATATCTGGCCAGATACATCAGACTAGAGAGGCTGTCTCTATATCTGGTCTCACATACATCAGACTAGAGATGATGTCTCTATATCTGGCCAGATACATCAGACTAGAGGGGATGTCTCTATATCTGGTCTGACATACATCAGACTAGAGAGGATTTCTCTATATCTGGTCTGCTTATCTGGTCTGATACATCAGACTACAGTAGGAAGTCTCTATTTTTTTCTGATACATTAGACTAAAGAAGGAAGTCTCTAAATTTTGTCTGATACATCAGACTTTGTCTCTATATCTGGTCTGATACATCAAACTAGAGAGGATGTCTCTATATCTGGTCAGATACATCAAACTAGAGAGGATGTCTGGGAAAGGTCTCTAAATCTGATGTAGCTTGTTTTATATACATGTTTATCAGACTAGGGTAGGGAACCGTGTCTAATTTTACAGTTTTTCTAAGCAAAAGGTGATTGAAAGTCATGACATGACCCTCATAAACAGTTACCTGACACCTATATATATATCCTTTCCTGGGGTCACAACACATGAAGCCCAAGTGTTAAACAGGTCATGTAGACCATAACAGACAAGTATGTATACATTCATACTTACAGTTTTATTTCTTGTTATATGAATATAGTTACACATCAGCTGTCTACAAACATTTTTCTTGTGCATTTGCCGCGGGCTACAGACCTGTCAGCATTGATGTGTACCTACTGGCCCTTACAGAGTTCAAACCTAAGTCTTAATTCACTTTTGCTCCGCCCTGGTATAACCTGTCAACCTCTCTTGACCCACAATTAAAATAAGATATAAATGACCAAGTGGAAATCATATGTCCATGATTTTTATTATGGTTTTCGATCATGATTTTTCATGGTGTTATATTTCTGTTAATGCATTCACCCCTGAAATTACATAAGGAACTATTCCAACCTTTGAATTGGAAGAGATCAAATGTGACTTTAGGGGTGAATAGGTCAGAGTGATTATGGTCAATCACAGCAATTGATCGTAGTCAACTACAGTTATAAAGACCAAATCAAGGTCTACCAATTTTAATGATCAAAGCCTGGTTAGCTTTAAGAACATGTGAAAACAAATATTTCATTATGTACATATTCAAAAATAATTAATTTGATCTGTTAAAGAGTTAAACATGATGTCTATGGATACAAAATGATCAACTGTACAAAAGAAAATGAAAAACACACTTCATTTTCATTTTTTTTGATGTATTTCTCCCAAAATTGCAATTTGAAGATTTAATTTGTTATCATTAATTTAAGCTAGCCACACTTTGAACATTAAGGCCCAATTGAAGGTCAACCATGGTAATTTCAGATTCAAACATTAAGAAATGTATTGCTATAATATATTTTATAACCATTTTGAAACAAGTCATGTACTTTATCAGTCAAACAGACAAAATGGAACGGTGCTTGGGTTTGCCATCTCTTCACCTGTGGCCTTGACCACTTCACCATGCATCTGCCTATCCAGAAATTTAAACATGTTGATCATGCATGACCAGCCATAACCATTTCCACCATGTTTGGTCTGGTTTGTTTGTGTATTGCGTCCTATTAACAACTATGGTCATTTTACACATAACATCTCCAGCACACACGCAGGCATACAAACATAGGGAAATATTAGCCAGGTGGCATAGGACTAGTAGTTAGCGCCTGCGAAGGCAACTCCTGTGAATTCCTCAAAATTGTTTTGATTAATGTATATATGCTAATTGAATTAATTGTATATCTATGTACTGCAAAGTGCTTTAGAGTGGCTTATGTTTGTTAGATAGGGCGCTGTATCAAATAATGTATATTATTATTATTATCATTTAAGGACGTGCCAGGCTTTGGTGGTGGAGGAGAGCTGTAGTTCCCAGAGAATATCCACCGACCTACCTCCAGTACCTGGCGACTGCCCCATATGTGAAGGCCTCAAACCTGCAACCCAGTGGTGGAGGGCTGGGGATTGTAGATGTTTAACCAATCTTCCACTTTAATCACAGTCAATCAAATTCTCACTAGTCACTTTAATTTTTGTAGTTTAGAGCACTTTAATGTGTCCAAAAACTGTTTATATTAAATATGTAGAACTTGAAATATGCAATAACGAACAATCCTTCACGAAACCTCTGATATATCGTGATATATTGATCAGATCAATTGTAAGTGTAGTTATTTTATGTACAGTCATTGATGATGTAAGATGATTTGTCAAGAATTCCTATCTTACTGTGTATAGTTAACCTCTTCCGATCCGAGGTGATTGTACTTGCAATTTCCTGTATGATGCACATAAACTTGTATATATATTCCTTTGATTTTTATCTGAGTGAACTTGGTGCATATAGTTATATGTACCTGTAAATTTTATGACTTCCTATTGTTAAGAAAGAACTTTTGTTTTTATTACTTCCTGTATGATGTGATACATGTAAATACTTTGCTCACCATGTTTATCCAGCAATAAGACCATGCCTGGTGATAAGCCCCCACCCATGTAAATTGCAGTTCAACAGAAATGTATTCTCGTTGTGTCTGTAATAAGCCCATTCCCTAACTTTGATTCAGAGATTATGAGTTGCCAACCCCCATCTCCAAGGTTTGTTGCAGAATAACAGTTACTACAGTCATAAAATGTTCATCTATGCTTGTGTACCTTCTAAAAGAGGATCTCATGGGAGATTAGCCTTTATTGTTAGCTTAATGAGTCGTACCCTCTAAAAATAGAGTATTATTATTAACTCCCTGATTAAACTTAATATAGTGTTGTCCATGTCCATCCCGTACCGTCAAACATCGAACACTGAAACTAATTTCATATGGTGATGGGGGCATTCATGTCTTACAGACATTTTCTAGTTTGTTACGAAGAACATCATTTTCTGAAAAGCATAGTAAATTCGTTTAAACTTCTGGTATGATGCAAGACCTAAAAAAATCATCAAGATTTGATCTCCATTTAATGTTTTTTCATATTTTTTGTATGAGGTTCTGTATCTAAAAGATCATAACTGGTCTGATTTTTGTAGGCTGAATAATTGGTTGACTTGAATTAAACATTTGTTTTGGATCTCCCACTCCGCGTATTTGTTATGTTATTAAGTCTCTGAGGTTACTGCTCCAATACTTTTCAGCCGAATGATCTTTTACGTTTGTAAACGTCTACACATTTCGGATTTAGCTATTAATTTCAACACATGAACATTTCCCAGGTATAATAACATGTAATTACACTGGGAACACCTAAGCCCCGAGGGACAGGTCGACCTCCATTATCTCGTTAACAGGTAAAATAATGTATGGGTGCAGACATCCACGACATTCTCGGGTTATAACTATGAATAATGATTGACTGCATTAAATGCATCTGAAGGCAGGTTTACCAGGTAAAAAATAAATTCGTAAATAATACGAAGATGTATATCTTTTCTGTATTGAATGGGAGATATTTTATACAGCTTTGATTCACATTTATTTCTGAGATTACACGAAAACAATACAAGTTTCAACCATGTAGAACATGAAATTTTAAACTGTTAGGCATGTTGTTTGACTTTAAACAAGACTGTTGGCTATGTAGGGTTACCTTTCTGGAGCTTTTGGGCATGAAGTGTGGCTTTTGAGTTTGTAGGTTCACGTGTAGGGTGTAAATATCATGAAAGTTCTCTAGTTTGAAAACTTTTTTTTACCTGTTAACTCATTCACCCCTGAAGACACATTTGAACTCTTCCAATTCAAAGACTGGAACAGTTCATTATGAAATTTCAGGGATGAATGTGTTAACAACCTTAAACTTTAGTATTCCTCTCAAATGTTTTATACTTCACTTTTCTACTGTTCTTTTACTCTTTTAAGTTA